AATTCAGCAAGACATGGATTTAATATAATTTTTATTTCTGTTCCAGCTTTATTTTGTTCTTCTTGTTATTTTATAATTTTCTTTTCTCTTCTACAAAACAGCGATATTAATTTTTTGAGCCTGGAGATTTTTTTTATAATTACACAAAAAAACCAAAAGACTTTACTTTAGATTGCCCAAAGAACACAAAATCTATGAAAACATGCGGATGCGTCACAAAAAATTAATGTGAATGATGGTTTGTCGGAAACGAAACGTCGTAGATAAAATCTTAATATAGCACGTAGCGCTCGAAAGAATAATAAAACTTTCAATCTTGCTTTTTTTTGCATATTTAACAGACAAAATTTTGACGATTTTTGTTAAATCTCACTGAATTTCCAAAGCAGAATTTTAACTGTTGACGATAAAAACAAAAATTTGTTGGTACCTGGAATAATTGAATGCATCGCTTAGAGAACAAAGAATAAATTTATAGTTACATTAATACTTATTAATATATAAATGCTTAGACCGTAAATTAAATATCAAATTTAGCTTGAAGAACACTGCATTTAATGTAACGGTCAAACATGTTCATCTCAGGGATATTTACAACAGGATATTTAGGAAATTTTGTAACCTAAGAGACTTACTTTTTTGGTAAGCAAATACTTTCTGAAGAGCAAACGCTTAATAGGTATAGTAAGTGTGAGATCACCGATATAGTCGTATGTTATGATTTACCCTTTATTTTGTTCTTCGAGGATATTCTATTTGACATTAACATACCGCGGTATTTACTAGTACAAATATCTCGTTAGGTGTCCTTTAAGGTAATAGAGTACAATTTTTCAGAATGCCAACCAAATTTGACATGTATTGGAGTAATATGGTTCGCGTTCAAACATATTGTTCAAATATAATCAATAAATAAAACAAACAATCTTGTATAAATATTGAAGAACCGCTGGTTTTTTCCACTGATGTGGGTTCGTTCAAAAGAATTTGAAGAAGAAAAGGGAACAAATTTAATAAATACCTATATGTCTAGTCCTGCAAGTGATAACACTACGTTCAGATGCTGACTTACGTCGCGAGTAAGTAAATTTTTAACCGATTAAAAATGTCAATTTTTTTCTCTAAACAGTCTGCGGTACAACATGATAGTGAAAGTGATAACGGTTGATATTTTGAAATTTTTTACGTTTTTCTCTGTATTAAAGGTCATGTCTTCAGGATAACAAAAATGGTGAACACGTGCCAAAAGTAATTAATTAGTTGAAAAATATATAAATTTGGGAATCTTGAACTAAAATTAAATGTTTTACAGTCACTTATTTGTCACATTTTACCTATTAGGTAGTGATAGTATTGCTAATAACAGCATCAGGGATATTTTTTATTTATCAAAAATACCAAACATTTAAGAATGCCATTTAGTTGAGAATCTTCCAAATCGCCTTATAAATACAAGCTGTACGCTGTACGCGTTTGCTACAGGTACCTTACACCTGCTCCTTTAAATAAAACTTTTTCTCTAAATCTAGTCAACAATATTGTAGTCTATAGATAATCATTTTAAACAGTCTGCCGAACAACCAATTAGTGAAAATAGTTTTTGTCAGTGAATGTCCAAATATTTGAAAAATGTTTTTCTTTATTGTGTAAGGCCATAACAAAAAGATATGACATGGCCTTATTTGAAATTTTTGGTCAAGGTATCAAACTATCCTAGAAAATATGTTATAAAAACAATTATTATTAAAATTATTTTTGACTTTTAGGAATGTTTAACAAAAAGTGATTTTTTTACAATCACACTTATTTTTCGCATTTGGCCTTATGACTGTATTAGATAGATAGATAGATTTATGTAGCCATTTTTTACATAAAAAATCTTTACAACAAATGGCGCGTCAGTAGTACAAAAGAAAAAAGAAAGATTAACGCTGACAAATTGTGGTTGTGGATAAATAAATCGTATAAACAATAGAAAAATTCCATGCGTGAAAGCAATATGACAAAATATACAATAGATATACACTACAAAAGTACAATGCATAAATTATAAAGTGTAAATACGATGGAATCTAAAATTTAACAGAAATCGTAAATATCGATGGGTAGATAATAAAACATATGTTGATATAAAATTCGTGTTTGGCCGAAATGGAGTATTCTGTAATTGTGTAAAAAGCATGCCCCAGAAGAAACAGTCTAATTTATCTGGAGAATTTAGACTGTGATTAGTCTCTGATATGCTGGGGAAGAACATTGTACAAGTCGGTGCGAGGCTTATTCCTTGCCGAGGTCGTCAGTGTGGAATAGTATGGTACGATGAGGTCTGCCTGTCTGGTCTTGTGTGCATGTCTGTCAGAATGTCTTTCAAAAGCATGTATATTTTCATGGACTTGGATCAGTGCACGATAAATGAACAGACTAACTAGGAAGTGTCATGATTTTGAAGATAGGGCGACAATGTGCCGTGAATTGTGCGTATAGCTTTCTTTTGCATTCGGAAAGCGTTGGCTGCATGGACGGACCCGCCCCAGTTTAGGACTGCGTACGACAGTATTAAGTCCTGATATTGCTAATAATGCCACTAGACTGAAGAATGACACTTAGTTGCGAGCCTTTCAAAACACTTTTATAAAGACAAACCTTATAGTAGCCCATTTTTTTGTTATTTTTATGAATTAATCAAACAACAAATAAAAAATAATACAACGAACGAAGGTTTTATTATTTTTATTAAGTGCTTTATAATTTTAATTACTTAAAGTATTTTACCCTGTTAAATTGTTAACATTTTTTCGATATAATCTAATCTATAATCCGCATAAAATAGACGCTGTAACAAAACAAAAGTGCGAAATTATTTATATAAAAAGTAATATTTTTTATCGCGGTATTAGTCCTGTTAAATCTCCGACCAATAAAAACAATCCAATTCCGATTTATCGCAGGCAATAATAAACTTTTTGCAAATAACAATTTGCGCCCGCGGAAACGCAACCCAATCCCGTTCAAAAATTATTATTGGTTTATAGTGTTTCTAAATAATTTATGAAACAAAATAAAGCTTAAACACAACGGGGACCCCCGACGGTTTTGTTTGTTTTGCATTTTATTTAAAATCATCGGGCATTTGTTTCGAAACGCAATATCCGCATTTGGTGTTTCGGTAAATATTATCGGAACCGTTTTTTAATTTGGTTTAATTGTCATATAAATTATTCGCGAATATTTCGTTTGGTCGTTTAAATCATTCGTACCGCACGCAATTTTGGGGAAATAAAACTTCAAAAGTGACGCCATTTTGAGTGGGTATACTCAATGAGGTTTTACACCGGAAACTGTAATTTTGTTGTAAATTTATATTAATATTAATTTATAAAATGACCACGTGAATCAGATCTCCCTCATATACTATGGGTTAGTTAGCCTATCATGCATTTTATTACCTAAAGACTTGTTTAGTATTTTAAAAAAATATTTTTCACCACGCCATCTATATATATCCTTCAAGCATATTGTCTGACGACGATTCTTCGTTTTCATTTTGTATTTGTTTTTGAGTCTTTTTAATTTGAAGCCTTCCTCTTCAATCATTTTTCTTATTTTTTTTCTTCTTTCTTGCTTTAAGCAGTCTAGAAAAGATGGCACGCTTAATATCGCGCAAGTTTAGTGCAAATATTAAATTTTTAGTACTTCGATATAATGTCAAAAAAACATCAAATAAAGAATAGAAACGTTCACAAACTTTAACGGCGAATGAAAGAAACAAACATAAGCCTTATAAATATTTTATGGCAGTTAAATAAAATTACACAAAAATCTAGAAAAAATTGGTTAAAAAAGTTTCGGATACTGAACCGCTATTTATTTTGGAATTGCCGTAAAATGAACATGAAATGATGTTGGCTATAAAATTATTTAGTAAAAATGATGATTATTATCCATAATTTTTATAGAAACGCAGGTATTTTATATTATAAGTGATAACCAAGGACAACCAACACAACACCCAAAAAATATTGAAAAAGATCGAATTAACAAATTTAAAATCAAAACAATTAAGGCAAAAAAAGGGAAAAATGAGATTTGGTATTTCAGCATTTAACACGTTTTGACAGAACAAGAGAACAAGAGAGGAATTTACAATTTTACAATCTATTCAACAGAGAATTCAGAATATTTCATAGTTTTGAAATAATTCCGCTAGTAGATTTATATGGTTCTTACTTGGCTATTCTTACAGTTCCTTAAATTTATAAAAGTTTTTCGCTGAACATTTTGCTATTGAAATGTATCAATAAAACGTAAACGTTAGCTACATGTGGCAGCTAATTTCTGAACAAATCGACCACACCGAATTCCCTAATAACAATTTCCTTTTGTGGACGAAATTAATCGTCACGGGGAAATAAGCGGATTACTTTACTAAGTTGGTGCTTTAACCATTTATCTGTAATGTGTAACACTAGTAAAATGCATCGATGTAATGGAGGTTGATATAATTGATGTTACAACTCAATTTAAAATTAAACGACTCCATAAAATTAATAACCCATCATAAACGTTCGACGATACGCATTTTTTGCGTCATTAAATGAATACATACAGATCGTTTCAGGCGCATGTGCCGCCGAAACTTCCTAAGAACGCTTCTAACCGATACCATTCCGCTTAATCTGAAATCCGATTAGAAAAAGAAGCGAATTCACACGTTAAGAAGATTAACTGGAAATGGCACTAAATCCGGAGATCCTCGCAAAGACCATTATCATTATATTATGATTATATTGGATTTAATAGTGCTGTTTTGGTCTCGTAACTCAGTTCTTGCCGGACTCGAATGGGAGTCGGACGCTCAGACAACGATGTTTAATGAATAGTAGAACACTCAAAAGTTAATTACTGGCGTTTTGTGTCCGGAATTTGTAACCGGAAAATCATCTTAGAAGCTCGTTTGAACGTCTTAATAGTGTTTATTCAGTGGAAACGGGTATATTATGATGATATATTCCTGTATGTTGCTTCTAACTCGTAAGTATAAGCGCTCTAAAATTAAAATGGCTGAGTATAATAAAAACAAATATTGACATCATTTCGTGGACACGTTAAACTATATAGCTTCATATCTGAGAGTCATGGATCCGTTGGCGCAACTGAAAATGCATGTTTACGAGTCCCTTATATAGAAACATCCTAAATTAAGCCAAAGATATCAACAGCCGATTAGAACCGAAACCTTAATTTGCATTTAACATTTCTGTGGGTGTTTTCTATAAAGTAGGAAACTTTGTGTCAAAATAGGTCGAGTTTAATTGGCGTATTATATTTTTAAGAACGGCTTGCGTAATGTACATTTGATTACGCAGTTATGACGTTTTTCGTTAACCAAATATTTAAATTAATCTCTGAAAATTAATTAGCTGTGTTAGCCGTGTCCAATAAAATCGATCAAAATCGTATTGCGAATCAAAAGCAAAAGAAAGTGTAGCTAATTACATTAGGTAGTAGCAGAACAATACATATTGTTTTATCTATAATATTCTATAATTGATGTTGACTATGAGAAAAAAAATATAAAAATCAAACTTTTCGATCACAAAATACTTGCAAACGCAATTTTCACTAAAATTATTGTAAACTGGACGTGAAATTTTAACTTTGAAGTTATTTATGACATTATTAAAAACAAACCTTAAAAACTTATCGCGGAAATCATAATAGGCTTTTTGAAAAAGAAGAGCTCGTGTTTGAAGCGAATACGTATATATAGTATATGTATCGCAAAAACTAATCACGGGCTTAAACTCGTAAAGCTCCCGGTGAACCCTTTAATAAACAAGTTAATTAACCAAAACTCGTACGTGCGTATTTATACATTATAGAGCGGCGGATACGGGTAAAATATTAATAAAATCTACTCTTTATTAACCACGTTAATGTCGACGCGACGGACGAATTCTGCCAAACTAATTATTATCCACGTATATGTTGGCTTTTTTTGCTGTTGGTTCATTCTGTTTGCCCATCTACTGAACTATACTCTGCGTAGCTTGACAATTTTTAACTGGCTCTAACTTCTAGAATACTTACTCAATCTGGAATTGGGAACCAGTTATAGTCGTTTAGATCAGAACTCTATCAATAAACAATGAGAGAAATAATTGAAGCTGAATTTAATTATTTAATAAAACTTTACTTATTACTTTCGCAAAAATCGCATGGCAACCAAACTTATATCTCGGTAATGGGAGGTCCTAGGGGACCCCCAATGGTACCCAAATCATCAGCGTCGGAAAAAAAAAATGTTTTGGTTCTTCTCCGACGCCTCCAATAACGACTTGAGCCAGTGCGCTGAGGTTTTTCTCCATTTAAACAGTCCACGCGATTTTCATCTGTTTTTCGTACATCGCTATGAAACACGAAATTTGTAGCTATCGATTTCAAAATTGGCGCAACTATAGAGCTTAGTTCCCTGACGGAATATATTAAAATTGGGGGGGGGGGGGGTCGGGAAGTATTTTTAATAATTTAAAAACCGCATTTCTCAAAAACTATCGAAAAAATTCTTGAACCAAAAGACGCGCGGGAACCGGATCAGAAACTTCTATTTATAATTATTTTTTAAAATTGTACAGGGTGCGTCGGTAATGTACAAAAATCTGAAAATTTGGTTCCCCCTAAAAAGATAATTGACCATAACTAGAATAACTAGAAGGGTGTGATTCAAAAGATCAGTTTTTTTTACATGGTTATATAGCCCATGCGGTCAGTTAAAACATCCGTGCTATATTAAGAAATGTAACAAGTGCAAATTTAGCAAAGAGGTAGAAGTCCACGCCCACATTCAAACAATTTTTAGAAAATTTTAGACGCGGAAGACCCAGTGCTATAACATTTATTTCATGCCTTTTTCGATTATATACAGGGTTTATCAATTATATAGAAAAATATAACTGACCTGAAAATTGTTTTTTCCAGAATAAATAATTAGCCGTAAACCAAATTTCGTAAAAAAATGGCTAATTGGTTGAAACAGTGTTATAGGCCGCACCAAGAGCAGTTAATATATGTTCAATTATACCGCATGGTTTCAGAAAACAAGTATTTCCTCGAAAACAATTTACTCTTTTGTAAAAATTCATATACCACGAAACGTGGGAGATCCAGGGCTATAACCTCTACTTCGAACATTGTTTGAATTATATAGAGGGTGTGTCGTTTATAGTAATAGAATCTAAATTTTTGGCGATAAATAAAAACTGTTATTTGAACAGTATCGTAAACTGTGTCGAGAGAGAGTTCTAGTTTATGTCTGTCATATAGGTTACGCGAGATATTTAATTTAAATCGCAAGTACCAGTACAAACTCTTATCTTTACCAAACTTTAGTGTAACTTTAGACACTTTATATAGGGTGGATACACAATAAGTTACATCGATTTTGCGAAAGTTCCATAGTGGTCCACAGGAGAAATACATGGATTGCGTAGTGCGTAGCGCGGAGCAGTTGCCTTGCGCAGCGACGAGATTGCGAAAGCAATCTCGTGTTGTATAGTAAATGACTTTAAATTGATTTTTTGCTTCACCTTTGCCAGGTAGCAATCAGAATCTTAACCACATGTCTCCATACTATAAATAATTTTTTTCTATAATCTACTCTAAAATACCGAATTAATTATCAGGTGTGCCCAAAGTGTCACTTAAAATACTTTGGCCATTTTGAATGTTTTCAGTATATGAGGCATCTTCTGAGGGTCATGTCACACGTCTCTCAGTGAATGTACCGTGCTCTTTTGCAAAAATGTAACCAAAAGTATTATGCAATAACTGCGGTAAACGGCATTTGACTTATGAGTTTATTTGATACGAGCGGAGCGCAGCGAAGCGAGTTTTTAATAAATGAGTGAGCTAAAAAGTTTACGGAACGTGTTGCATACTATACTTTTTCTACGACGGTTGGTTTTTGGGTACATTTTCGCAAAACAACACGAATACATTCACTGACATGACCGGCAGAATTGACAAACGTCAAAATTCAGAGCGTGGGAAATATCTCCGAAAACATCCGATTGCTCCCAAATCCGTGCGGTAAAATCCCGAAAATGTACGAAGTGGCTCGGATTCATGGGAAACGAAACTGATATAGTAAAGTGACGCTACCCGCACGCTAGATCGGTTTAAACATCGAATAGGTACATATTCTGCTAAAGTCATTGAATCAATCCATTGTTGATAAGAACAATATCATGGCGGAATATTATTTTAAGTTTATGAAGCATAGACATTTATATTGAAGGAACACCACAGCTACTTTATTTATTCGCCATTGACAGGAAGTGGAATATGATTTTCAAAATCCATTTTACTAATTGATGTTATCAATAGATAACCTTATTCTTAGCTTAGAAATAAATATTTATGAAGAGTAATTTCTCCTGTTTGTTACCAGTTTTCCAGGTCGCGTAAGCAAAAAAAAAACAGGTTATTGTTATAGCGACCTATTAAAATCAACGCACCTGATTATCTGGAAAATTGCATTTTTCATAGAAGTAAAATTGGTTTCGAAGAAAATATCGGCGAAATTAACGTAAGGTATATTTTATTCAGTGGCGTGCGAAAAGGTGGTGTGGTATAGGACTAACTAAAAGTTTTGTTTTTTTTTATTTTTATCAATAATTTTTCCGCGCGCTTATAATATAAACGTTGAATAATTTTTGCTTACCTTCTAACAGATTTTAAATTAATTCAGACAAAAAATTCAATTTTCAAGAAAATCTGCAGGAATGTATTCCATAAATTGGCGATATCTATATAACAAGTAGAGATATAAATAACATTTGAAAAACTTTCAAGACCAATTCGATCGCGATCCCAGATTTCCCACACTCCTAATGAAAATTTTAACCTTTTTGAAATCCTTTATTATTAGAAAAAGGATTGATTTTTCCTTTGTGATTTTGTAGTTTTTGTGACAACGATGAAAAAATGGCCGACGCGAATATACGTTGCGAGCGTTGACGGGAGTTCAAAAAGGGACCCATTTGTCGAGCCGCCTACCAAAATTGCTGTACCATTGTATCGTAGCTTCCACCCGGTTGAATTTCCGAAACTCAAACCACCATAAAATTGGTGTAAACTTGCAACCTTCCGCGGCTTTACACAACTTCACTAACGCCGATAACATCTGAGGAATGGGTGCTCGAAAATTACCTGTAACTAGACACTTTGAAAGGTACCCATCTTGAGATCGGTTATCGGCGGATCTGTCAATTGCCACGGACGCCTTTACGAGTGACAAATGCGCCTGAACTCCCCACCCAATTTTTTTCCGCAAACCATTAGCACCAGCAAAACTGCCGAGAACAAATCTTCTAGTAAAATTGTGGTTTTGCAAATTTTCCAATTATTAAATTGAAATGATGTCCCTTTGTCATTTTGAACTTTTAATATTATCGTAAATTGGCTGATGCCGTTCAGCGTTCCTATTATTTCTGTCCGTAGGACGTAGTTATTGCCAATACGTTAATAAATAATGATTTACTTAGAATTTACGAGACCTCTTAACCTAAATCCTTTAAAATCCGTTTCCATTCTATTTTGTGTCGAATATGTTAAAAATTTGTTGTCTGAATTGCCCTTACATTCCTCTGGAATAATTAGACTTGGAACTAACAATTGATAATAAAAGAAAATTTACTCACCATTTGAAGTAGTCACTCTATCCACATCATCACAATCTTAACGAAACCGCAAGAAAATCGTGATTCGATATTGTCTCACTTTAATTATCGCTATAACTATTGTTATTGTGTGGATAAAAATTAATACAAAGAATGCAAAACCTCACTTAGATTTACGTGTAGTACACAGAATGTAGCACTCTAAAAAACAGTATGTTTCCCCTTACGTCCTTCCTTTTCTTTATTTCTTTTCTTTTAGCTAAAAATTGTCGTTAGGTTTTTTGTACTGTTCTATAGAAACCAGCGCTCATCGCCAATTTTATGTATTTGGCAGTAACATTTTTATTAACTGCAACTTTATGCTTGATAGTTGAAAAGTTTTGGACATTTTTTTATTTTTATACCTTTTCCATTTTTTCGTATTTTAAAAATCAATCTTCGTTAATATAAATATAAATTTTTGTAGATTATTATTGTCATATGTAACCTGCCTAATTTCTAACCAGTTAATAATAATAATCTCCATAATTCAGTAAGCAACAGCAACAGAAAATTATATTAAATATTAAAGTTGAGTTAAATGATTTCATTTTAATTATGCTTCTTGACTTTTTTTTGTTGAAAATATACAAGCATATTTGTTAGTAACTACATAAAAAAAAAAAAGATAAATGCTTCTCCAGAAAAGCGTCCTAAGAAACCCTAGGGAATCGACTGTACACTTGTGGCGTTTTGCGACAGCCGACAGCAGGCTATTTTTAATTTAAAATCCAATAAAGATTTTTACACTTGTGCGGTTTTTCTAGAGGTACGTGTTCATTTATTGCGCCGCCATAATGCCGTTAGGAGTGCACATATGCTCAAGTGCCGCATAGAAACCTCGACAGGACTTTGCGTCACAACTTTAATAAAAAAGAGCGGAGCTGCCTTTATCCGGAGAGCATTTTTTTACCGTTTTGCCGTTCGTTAAGTCTTTTAGGCAATCAACCTATTTAGTTAATAACAGAATTGACCCATTATTTATCTGTTATTTTTTCTTGCAAATCTTTAGTTGCTACGTTCAGTAAGTAGGATGAGGAATGCGTCTAACCCGGATTCGATTGTATTGTAAACATAATTATTAAACGCACTGTGATGATCATTATTGAATAATGCTATTTTGTTACTCTAAATTATCTATCTCTATTTCTATTATATTTTATTGAAGGTAATTTTAAGCCTTCAAGAAAACGCCTTAGCCTTACCCCAAGTTAAACAGGTTGGCCTGGCCAAACAATTATTGTAAAATTTCCGCTAGATTGAGGCCGTGCATGTTCGCATTAACTTCAAAAGGGCCGAGCAGAAACATCTGCAAAAATTCGAATAAACAGAAACGAAAAGATTACATCCAGGTCCGCACTGTAAAGTCTGTGGTAAAATGGAAACCGATATCGTTTTGCCGAGAGATGTTGCTTAATTTTTAGATGGATTTTGAAATATGTTCCAACGATTTATACAAAAAAAAAACATTTTTGTAGTTGGAACATGAAAAATAACTTATCCTAAGTAAATAAGATATTGTTCGGTAAATTAAAATTAATATGCAAAGATGGTAACTAAAGTGACTAAATACTAGCGCGTAACTTAATGTTTTATTACAACAAAATGAAATCATCAACCACCAACTAAGGCACTACAATAAAAAAATAGATATACTTAAATCTAAGAAAATTATGAATATAAAAAAATTCAAACCATTCAAGACTATATGAACGCTCCATACACAAACCTAAGAAACATCTAAGGAAAAAACCTTTAAAACGATGTTTTCCAAACTTGAAAAAATGTCATAAATCAAAAATCCGAAAAATTGCAACACGAAACTCATCAGCCAAGGGACCATCATATACTCAGATATTATATAACATGACAGGGAGATGGACTAAAGCTTAAAACTGATTTCGGCGTCTTTAGGACTCAATTTTCATAAAAAGCATAACGGTAAAAGCCGTACACTGACAATTTCTTCTCATTCAATGACGAATAATGATATCCGTTTGATAAACATTCTTCCGGCAATTTCAAAAATGTACGAAAGATTATTATATAATCAAATGTACGAATTTTGTATTGCAAACAATATTGTTCCACTTATGAAATGTGGTTTTAAAAAGAAGTCTGGGACACAATAGCATTGCTGTATTAGATGATATTTTTGGAGCGTATGCTAAGAAAATGAGCATTATACAATCAATTATCAACTTCTAATATCAAAGCTATTATAGATTTTCTTATGTCATCAAATCTGAATAATAGAAAGCAAATGATATCCTCAAGTGGCAAATTTTCGGATCATCATACACAGGCGTCCATTTTAGGTCCTTTGTTATTTATTGTGTATACTTCGGACATTCTAAAATCATTAACTTATTTAATTTATTTGAGTGAACTCTCTAAAAGCCATAATCTTAAGTTAAACCCTACAAAATCTTCATTATTTCTTTTTAGTAATCAAAATAAGATGCGTAGGATCAAAAATTCTTTAAATATTTTAATTGGTGGCATAGTGCTAACTTAATAATGCTAAGAACTTGGACTTTGTTTAGATAGCAAGCTAAGATTGGATGGCTTATAATAGAGTCTCATTCTTCTTCTTCCAGTGCCTTCTCCCTTTCATTGGAGGTTGGTGACCACTACTCCAAACGCTTCTCTATCCCTCGCAATATGAAACAATTCCCCCACATTCAACCCTGTCCAGTCCCTGACAATTCTTAGCCAGGATTTCTTTTTTCTTCCGATACCCCTTCTTCCATCTAGTCTTCCCTGCATAAAAGTTTGTAGTAGACGGTATATATGTAGAGTCTCATAGAAGAGTACATTTCCGCACTTTTTTAATGAAGACTATAAACATTCCCTTTCAGCAAATTGCATTGACAACATTATGGTAAATTTTTGTGATACCTTTTACAGCGCTGGTAATGTTGAGCCTGGTTTTTCCGATCTTGAAGGTGTTTTCATTAATGTGAAAACTGATTTTAGGTTGAAAGAAGATAGATTTTCAATTAAAACTAATTCACTGGTACAATAGCGATCTAAGTTGCCTGCATGATAAGCTCTTACATGTAAAGGCCATGGCCAAAGCGTCTGGCAGTCCGGATCATTGGCAGGAGTGTAGAAATTTAAATAAAGCTACAGCTTATGGTCTGTTTGTAAACAACTCTGACAATACTAGTCGGAGCTGCTGGAAACTTATTAACAGTGAGAAAAACCTTATTCGCGGATATACCAGTTGTACCAATGATTTCAACTTATATTATTCTCAGGTGGCATCGCGCATTACTGCCGAAATAAAAAAAATAAATGATCCAATGCTCTATATCAGAAGGCAATCAAGTCGCACGAGGTCGTTTTTCCTGGATCCGGTTTCCAGTGAATTAGTCTATAGCACAATTCTACATTTGAGTGTGAGTGTGAATCATGGAGTGCTGATGCAGAAGCTCGAGTGGTATGGCATGTACGGCATGCCTCACAGATTATTGCGCTCTTATCTTAGCGGTAGACTTCAGTGTGTCGAAGTGAATGGAAAATTCAGTAGCTCCAGCTTGCCGGTATCGTTTGGAGTGCCGCAGGGCTCGGTGCTCGGGCCCCTGCTGTTTATAGTTTACATCAACGATTTGCGTTCCCACATACCATGTAAAACTACGCTCTACGCGGATGATACAATTCTTTTATCCCGAGCTAGAAACCCATATGAACTTAGTATTGATAGTGTGGCCAATAAGACTAGAGCGCGTGGATGGTTCGGGTCGAACTCCTTCCAGTTAAACGAACCAGCTTATTTTCTCTTGTAGCAAGGTGCACAATTTAAACAATGCTCCGGTTAAGGTACTTGGTAGCTAATTCTTGTTTCAATGTTTGGTGTTTGGCTATCTGATAATTATGTTGCTCTCTATGTATGTTATTAGAATGTGTTTGGTACTGTGTTAATTCATTTTCTTTCACAGATGTGACTTGCCATTTGTTGTTCTTGTCATGTATTTAATGGCCAATAAAGTCTAAAGTCTAAAGTATTATTATTGTTACCATCTCAAAGTTATAGGGTGTTTTTCGAAAATGTGCTTTTTAAAAAACCTCTGAACTTTCTTACATTTGAAAATTACGTACTTTTATGCAAACGTTCCAAAGCATTCTAAAAATAGCGTGCACTGGATATTGTCTGATGTTCATTCTCTAAGCATGTTTACCGCGCCACTTAACGGTTTTGTTTTATTTTTTATTAGTTTACCTTCCTTTTCATTGTTACACTGAAATTTAAAATAGAACCCTATATATTTTTAAACGCTATCTTATTGTAGAAGATCTTTTTATCTTTTATTAACTTAAAATCTGGGCTTTATGATTAACCAAATTTTTACATATATTGATTGGATTATTCCTAGATATAAATTAATAAATTAATACATAGGTTTCATTCTTGTAGATTACCTAGGTAACTTGATTATTACCAGTAGCTCCGCCATTTTGGAGGCAAAAGCAAATGGTCAATGCTGTAAAAAACCACCGGAAGTGATATTTATTTTTTTCATAATGTCATAATACTTGTTTGTTTTTTTTTATGGGTTAGTAAATTTTAAACTAATGGCATGAAAGACATAAGTAGCACTAGCACCACCTATTTTCGTTATAGATCCCGAAGCTCGAGCCGGCCCTGTACGCGGTAATGAAAGAAATCGACAAGCGAATCGAGGGTGTGTTTGTTTTTTACGCAATATTGGAGCGATATCCGGCGAATATTGCTTTCGAAAGTTCACATCCACTTTAATGACTATTATATTGGAAGTCCTCCCATCCGGAATAAACAGGCTCTCGATTCTTTACACGGAAAACTTTTTAAGATTCTAAATATAAAAGAACTTGACGTTAAACGTTCAACGGGAGATTAACTCCTGATATGAAAAGCTTGTTTTTTTTTCGTTATTTGGTTGTGCGCTTTGATGGCGGATTTAAAATGGTAATGTGAGCACTAAAATGCGTATTTGTTGCAGGGGCCAAAGTAGATGTGGTCAAACAGCCTCGCGACTGGGTAAGTATATTTTTTGCAGATAGAAAAAAAAAGGTCACGTGAGCTACTAAAAACTTCAATTCTTCTGAAAAGCGTTACTACAGAATTCACTCAAAATTAAGATGATTACACCTTACTTGCAGTATAATAATCTTTAGATCACAATGTTCCTTATACCCACTCAACACTAGCAAGTTCGCTAACATTGGCCATGGTTTTCATATTTCGCAGGACTCATCCATTCAATCCAGTTGTATGTATAGCTCAGCTCCGGATTTAAGCAAAACAATTTTTTCACGCAAACTTTTGACATAACTTTGAGGTTGGAATTAGTTACGTATCAACTTAGGGACGGCACAAACAAATCCTAACCTAAATTTAATTGACGCCCAATGTTAGATGACCTGTAAAGGTGTTAACCAAAACTTATCAATACAAATCAATCCAAGACGTTTCTTTTTAATAGCCGGAGAAATTTTTTTTGAGTAACCTGATAGATATTTATTTTAAAAAGTTATACTCGTATGTATTTAATCATTAAATGCGATTTAATTTCGTGAGTACAACGGGTAGACGCTTATAGCAGTTATGAGAAAGATACATTAGGTTAGGTAATTTTCAATGCAGGTAAACAAACCCAATAATATTTCAGTCATTCAATTCTGGACGTTCCTCAACAAAATCAAAGGCAAAACAATTTCAAAAGATTGAAAGTAGCTCGGAAGATCATCAAGTAGTAAAACTTCAAAGGAAAACACCTTTAATAAAATAAATAAATAAAGGGAGTTTGTCAACATAGTTAAGAAAATTTTGACTTAAATTCTTGTAGCAAAATGTTCCATTGTTGGATAGTAAATTGCTTTGCGGAATATATACTTTGTTCTCAAATGATCATTAATTACTCAGTATTACTGATACATTCGCTAACATTAGGCATATTAACCACAATGTGTAGGTCGGAGAACGATAGTCATCGTAAGGAAAGTGAAATTGTACATATTATTGGTGTGGTTCTTTGATAAATCATTCGAAGAAATCCTTGCATCGTTTTAGTTAGGATACAACAATTCGGAAAAATCCTCAAAAATCCCGGCTTGGTATTCACGCATTTTTGACATGACATGTGGTTAGGCTAAGCCGATTCTCCTTAATAATGGTGATTTACAAAATTCACAAACTTGAAACTAAAAAATATATAAGAAACTCATAGTTGGCATAACCCTATTGAGTCGCTATAAATAAATAAATAATTGAGGTAAACTGCTCAGACCGAAAATATCAAAACCGAAAATTCTATTCTATAAAGAGAGGATCTATGAAATACGATTGGGGCTTCGCATCGCAGTCAGTCAATCCCCTAACACTTTTGTTAAATCTCTTTGCGTCCACTAATGAATAAACTAATTGACAATATCGAAGATCAGCAGTACAACTAATGTTATCTGCCAATCTGGCTAATGGAGCATCGTTAACATTATCATCTTCAAACGATCGCGCCGCTTGCATCCCCTGTTGTCTTCTTATTCGATTGCCGCCCTCCTCTGTTTGCCCCTTAACAAGTCCTGAGGGAGGAGAGCGTTTCAGCGATCCGCATCAAACAGCACGATACAAATCACATCAGCGCTAATTGGCGCGTCAGATTGATGTTTAGAATAAATAGGGAACAACAAATTAATATTAAACTCAAATATATGGCTTTTTTCTTAAATTAGTTAATTACTACGAACGCCTAAGGCAAACTTGTTTCTTGTCCAAAAGAGAAGAGAGAAAAAATTACCTAACCATTTATAATAAGTTATATTACATTATTATATTATATGTTTTTAACCTTATTGCTTATGTATGGATTAAAGGAACCAAAAGGAAATTAAGAAACGTCTAAAAATTCAATAAAATAAAATAAATACAATGTGATCCGAGAAAAAGTCTAACGAAAAAGAAAAGTCATACATTATTGAGGTAATATCAAATCAAAAATTAAAATTTCAATATCGTTCTGAACTTGCATTTGAAAAATGTTTACATTGATCGTGGTATACTAATTTGGTCTGTGGTTTCTGATCATTTTCAAATATGTCAAATCAGTTGTCAAAAAAATGAAATAAAGAAAGATACGTAAATTATATGAAATCAGGCTGACTAAACATTTTAACTCTGATAATTTTCAAACTAACGCAGTGGGTGGAAATACTCATTTATTAAGCACTGATCTTAAATACATTCGTGTTTCAAAAATACAAGTTAATATAGGTTTATTTAAAAAACAAATTATGCTGTAAATTGGGAAATGGAATATAAAACATTCACGATATGTAATATTTTTATAATAAGCTTGGGATGTAATTAAAAATATTTTACAAATTCACATAATAGAAACTCTAAATTGGTAGAAAAGATTTGATTGATATCAATAGTTCAAAATTTCGAGTAGTTCGTCGTAACTTCAATAGTAACGAAACAGATTGAAATTTTTTTAGAAGCAATAAATCTAAACAAATAAGAACTAAACAACATTTTAAAAAATAACGTAAATACACTTTAAACAACATAATGAAAACCACAATATGGAAAAGCCTCACAGCGCTAATATTAATTAATTGCTCTACTTCCATGCTCGTTAATGTGAACCAATCAGATTTTCTTTATGCATAAGCACAGAAAAAGTGTCCGCTTTTAATATTTCCTTTTGTAGTTATAAAGTGCATTATTTTTTCAGATCAATTCACCGCTGCACTCCTAAACTTCAATAAATGACAGACTAGAAGCTAAAAATACTAACTTCCATAATGAGGTATAATTGGTAATATCCTCCAAAACTTTGGCGTTTACTGCAGCGCCTCGCCCTGCGGCTTACACAATTCGACATATAATTTTCCGCTTCCCAATTTAACACAGAAAATTATTGAAAGCTACTTAAGTTTAGTTATCTGGTAGTTTGGATCCACTCCAAAGGCATCATAATAAACCGTTTTTATTGCCAATAAACCACCGTTCAAACACGGACACAATTCACTAAAGCCCCGCGCAGATAAAGAACGTCAATCATCAGATAACGAAAACAGGCCTTACGAATAAAAAAAGGAAGAGGAGACAAGGAAAAGTAAAAAAAAATACGTTGTCATCGAAAATTCGGGTATTCGGTTACGGTTCACAACAACATTCAGCTCTCTGCTACCTAACAATAAGGATCATATTTCTCCGAGGTGTTACCATCAGTTTTATAATCCTCGTTCACAAAGAGAATGTCATAGCTTCGGGGATTAAAACGGCTTATAATACATTTTAAACAACTAATATTCGGGGTGCAATGTTTTCTGGCAGCCAGGAGAACTGCGACCGCTATTTCGGGACTTATTTTGACCGGCGGTAGGTATTTGAGTAACGCCGGGAATCCATTTTTGCTTTAATTCCTTTCCGACACGTCTGACTTGATTGACTTTCGTTGTATGATAATCGCTACAATCTTTTCGATTACGTTTGCCTTTATTTCAGCAATTTTTGATTAGAAGTTTTATGACAATAACCATTAGTCAACGATTGAAGTAGGAAATTGTCATAAAATCACTCAACATGCCCTTAGTAATTAATTATCGAATACTTAGTGTTACTTAATTCAGAATTATCTAATAAAATGTATTGAACAAGAATGTAAGTTTTCCCTGAATAGTGAATTTATCTTTGCAATGTAATCTAATTTGACTTTTATTTTAATATTACCGAGGTTACAGTTGCTGTAGGTTACGACTTCGGAGATAAGGAATTTGTAATTTAACATATTTTCTTATTTTTAAAATAAACAAATTTTATATCATATCTGTTATCCTGGCCTTGTCGTTATTTTAGTCCTATAAAATATGTTGCTAACTTGGTCTTTAATTTTTATTTTTATTGAACACTTAGTTTTTTTTAATAGTTTATTAGGCTTGTTATTAGCTTTTTAATAAGAGAAAATAAAAAAAAACTACATAACTCATTAAAAAAAATTAGTTACCTGTCAACATAACACTGGGTTCAATATTAAATGCGCCTTCCACGCATAATACACCCGTATTATATCCAATTTGGCATAATTGCCATATTGTGCTTTAACATGAGCCATAGAATAAATAAGAGGAGGTGGAAATTGAAAATTGAAATGGTCTTAGAACAACGGACACCAACCATTCCATTAAAAAAAAACAAGTTTTTTTTGAGTATTACAATTTATGAGTTTCAGAGGAAAACTGATTACTTTACTGGACCTCATTAAGACCAGTTTTGCCTTTTCGATAAGTTAAACCATAACCAAACTTCTATATTATGTTTGTGGTACCTTTCATTTCATAAAGAAGCATCAAACCATAAAAAATGAGACACACTGCACGAAAGATACAACATGGGACACTTTAAACGAGGGAGCAATTCAATCATAACTTACTACAGCATAAAGATATTTTCTTTAACTTGGAGTGATGTTTTTCCAGCCACCTTGTTTTTTTAAGATTCAAGTGTGTTGAAAGCAATCGATAAAACACTGAAATCATTTCAACTTCTTGTTCCTGAAAGTTTAGAGGTATTCTGCGAAACAAATAATAATTAATCTTGATATTTAACGCATTACTTAAGGTTTTAATTCTTCAACTGTGTCTTTAAAATTTTATATATACAATCAAAAAATTTTATTTTTTAAATGTTACTTATAATTATGAACTGTATAAATCCAATATAACATCCCTAAAAAAATAGGGACTATATGACTGTGAGGAAAACGAAACAAAATATGAAGCACAGTTGCAATGAAAATGAGATTTTCTCCAAATGTTAAAATTAGCTAATACTAATTAAAAAAAGTCTCCCACGGGAAGCACATTGGGACTTTAAAGATAAGAAAACTGAATTTTATTTTTTGTAATTTCTAAAACAAAAAAAAAAACATCAGTTTAACTGTTATCCTAGTCGTGCCTTTATTGTTGGATCAGACGAAATTAACGCTGAGATCTGGGAACCGGAAAGAAAGATAAAGTAGCTCAAAATAGGGCATTTTTAACAACAGAGCGATTCAAAAAAATAGATATACAGTCGAACTTCGATAAGTCGAACTGCGATGTATGTACATATGTATGTATGTATTTACATAATATGTGTACATACAAATGTATTGTATATGTACCCGGTATATATAAACATAGCATGTATGCACATATACATACATATGTATGTACATATTAAAGTTTATTCTTTCACTGGAAAAAAGTCAGTTATTTGTGACTAACCATCGGATTTCTTATTTTGGTTTTCAACAAAAGTTTCAATTTTATTTAAACAATCATAGAGGGAATCGGTTGTGTATTCACTGGTTTTCAAATAGGAACGCAAGACAATCAACGAATTTTCAACCAATTCATTTGAAGGTGGTTGCTGAGAATCATCTTCCAATTCCTCCTCCATCGTGTCACTTTCGCAGTCATCTTCGATGTTTAACTGTACCGGTTCGGATCTGCAGGACTCGATAATATCTTCATCGGTAGGAAACTCTGAAGTAACAATATCCTTATCCACATGTATAAAATCGTTGATGGTGCTACCTTCTGCTATACCTATAATGTTTGTCCAAGCTTTAAACTCGATTTCTATTTGGATTTCGTCTTCACTCTTTTCTTTCAGGCGTTCACTTAGGAAAATCAAGGGAATCTCATCTTCTTCTTCCCATTTAGAATACTGACCAAAACCGGCTTTTTTTAAACAATTGGAAATTGTTTCAGGCTTAACGTCGATATTCCATGGGGTAGTTACGTCGTCAACACAATCCATTAGTGTAATGTTATTGTTTTTGTTTTCTTCGAAACGTTCCATTGCGGTGATGACTGAATGTTTATTTTTCAAAATTGTAGACACTGTACTTGCCGAAATCCCATTCTTCACAGCTACATCTTTATTTTTTGAGCTACTTTCCACTTCTTTTATAACCTCGAATTTTTGATCAACAGACAAAGCTTTTAAAGTACGTTTTGATGACATATCAACAAATGCAAAAATCCAAAAATGTCTTTAATATAATGTGTAATAAATAGGGACAACAGTATTTTTCACTTAGTATTAACTAGTAAGTCATACAAGTGAACTTAGCAAGCACAGAAACTGAACTGCTTGCATAGATACGTTAAAAAGACAGGTGAAGATCGGTCGTAATTGGGGCGTTCCCCGAGAAAATTCGACTTATCGAAGTTAGCACCAAATGTTTCGTTCGAGTTATCAAGATATTCGAGTAATCAAGACAAACTAACACGCATTTTCTACTTTTGACACTATTGCCAACCAATTTGGTTCGACTTATCAAAAATTCAAGTTATCGAAGTTCCCTATATATGAAGACATATTTTTTAATTTAGTGCTATATTTTTCAACCAAAATTAACCCAAACATTGCTAGCTTTTCAGCATCTGTGCCAGCGTTTGAACCCTGAAATTGAGAATGTTAGATTTGTAATGTCAAACAAATTATAAAGGATCCTGATTTTCAACTCACAACTTTATTTTTTAATATTTGGAATTTTGGGAATTGCAAGGGGTAATAAAATGGACAATTCAAAACAGTAAAAATCCAATATGGTCAATCCACATTTTAAAATAAGCTTTTTAATACCGACAATAAAAGTCTTCCACGGTGAAACGTCGACCGTATTATTCACGTAGTAAACTACATAAAACGAAAATTGATTAACGGAAAAGAGCGTGGAAGCGCTAGGCTGAAAAGTTATCGACTGGACCGGCAATTTCGGGCAACGTTGTTCCGCTAATAGAGTTGTCTTGTTCCGGGGCGGTGATTGAGGCAAAGGGCCACTTCAGCCCTTATCTATGTTTGCACTCGAACCCCCGGTTGCGCCCATCAACCGGCTACATCGCCACTGTAGTCTTGAGATAACAAGGGTAAATGTGAGGATACACACCCCGAGGTTTATTTTCTCACTCCCCTCAAGAATAACTGTTGCCGTTTGAGATGTTTGAATTATTGAATACCGTTAAGTTGGCCTAACCCCCATCACCACCTTCCCCCACTTTTTAATTTTTATCTCCGAATTTGAAGAGTAGAAAAAGGTTAAAAAGTTTATAGCTCGCAGTACTCAAGTACTACGTGGAAGAATTTCCCAGATATTTCGTTGGACCTTTGATTTAACGCCTAAATGCTATAAATGCTACCGTTGCCATTAAGTTACTTAGCTATATAAGCAATAAGCTTTTAAACAGAAAAAAATACTGTCATTTTTACAAAAGGTATGTTACAAACTATACTAAGTAGCCCAAGTATCCACTTGGCGATTTTTGTTGCATTTGTAAGCATTTTCATTTAAAATGTCCTCAGATAAAACTTCGACAACAAAAAAAAAATTGGGAATCTTGACGGGTTTCGAGAGTGATGTCTGGAGTAACTTTCAGCGATACTGATAGTTTAGTCAGCAGTACGTATTTGAAAACGTGGAAGAAGATGTAATAGAAGGGGATAAAAATCACAAAAGATCTATAGGAACAAAGAGCAAGAGATCGATAAGAAGAAAAAAATATATTAATTGGAATATCATATGCAAAGGAAAACCATTAAGTTCTAAATTAAAAAAATTATTTTTGGTGCAGTTCTGCTTTACCTTCTAGGATTTTAGAACTTGAAACTCCTTATCACTTTTTACTAGACTTATGTAAAGTAAATGTTTTTGTAAATTTTTATGTTAAAGAGTGCAACAAGAGAAAAATGGACAAAACATTGTAACAAGTAGATTTTCGTTACGAATGACCAATTAACAATAAATACATGTAAAAGAAAATGTAAAATACATATCCCACTAAATCCATCCATCACATGGACTCGCCCTTAAAGAAACAAAAATTTGATGCAAGGACCTAAGTTGCGACACAATAAAAAAATATGTATTTTAAACAATTTAATAATCAGCCTTAGTTTGAATGTGGCCTTTAAATTAAAGAAAAAATAGAAAATATTTATTCCTAGTTTATAATTTTTATTAATAATTTATATCAGAAAATCAAAATTAATGCAAAAAAAAATTATATTCGATTCAAAGTTAATGCACTCTTATGGGAAATTTTGGTAAAGTTGGCAGATAGGCGTAACAAAAAACTCAAAAAATCAATAATTGTAATAGAATTTTTAGAAAGATGTGTAACATTAAAAAAGGACAATTTTATTTTAAATTTCTATTATTTAATCAAATTGAAAAATATACGTATACAAATTTTAAATTTTGCGGTTTTTATAGAGTCCTAGCAACTAATTTTTTAAAATCTGAAATAATTTTGCTTGCCAACAATGCTTGCTAACTTGCTAACGAAAGCATTCTTTCTTATTAGCGAAGTTTTAAAACTTTTTTCTTGATTTACTTTTAAGTGTAATTTTCGGCAAATCTTAGTATTACATATTATTACGAAATATTAAATCAATAAAAGGTTCTTTGTTTTTTGTCAATGTTTCTCACTTTTTTCATGCGACTAAAACTGTGAACTGTGTGCCGTAGGCTTTGGTAAGCTGTGATTTAAATATTTTGCATTTTTTCGTGTTTTGTACAGTACTGAACTACATTTACTTACGAACTTCCTCAACTAGCCTAAATTATCCAAAACTTTTTGATTTTTTTAGATACAATAAATAATCAAGAAAAAAATAAAAACTCTACCTTAGAATGTGATATATAATGGTGGCTAGGTAGACATTAGGAATTTGGATATAATGTCATTTTATTTTCACTCATTTTGATCGAAGAAACGCTCCATTTTCAGATGCAACCCCGACAACGAGCTATCATTCCCGGGCTTTGGAAGCACCTGCGGCGGAAACACCGGGAGCACCATGGCCTACTTGAAATCAGCCCCCTATCCGATGCCGGGTTTGGGATTGCACGGGCTCCCGGTCGACTCCTTGCATCCCTCGATGGCGGGCTATCCCGGAGGTAACCTCCTTGCCAAACTTCCAGGACTCAACTCATGGCGATTTTCTTTAGGTAATCAGAGAAAACAAAGGAGAGAACGTACGACTTTTACGAGAGCTCAGCTGGATGTGCTGGAAGCCTTGTTCTCGAAGACGAGGTATCCGGACATTTTCATGCGCGAAGAGGTTGCCTTAAAAATCAATCTTCCGGAATCCAGAGTCCAGGTAAACTGGACGTTTTCCCTGTATATAAAATATGTCGAAAAATGAAGTAATGGACCATTTTTAACGTACAAATTTTCCTTTGAAAATCCCTGTTGCGTTACTAAAAAGTTTCCGATATACTATATAGAGCAACAGTGAGATAAGTGCAAAATTTTATTTCCTAAAAAATCGAGTTAAAAGGTATTTTACTATTTCAACTATGAATGATTTTTTCAACCTTAACTAACTGTTGGTCAATATCTTACGTTTTACTATATGTTTGAATGTAAGACATTTCAAATAAATGAATGTTAGAATACAACATTCATATAGAAAAAACATACATACTGAAATGGGACATCAACGGTTTAACGGTTTAAATCATTCATAGTCATTTAAAATCCATTTTTATTTTAAAACTAGTAATCAAAAGTCGTAACACCTATAACAAAGAAATCAATCATCATTGGCATCATTGGCATCATTGCAATCTTCTGTTATGGGAGTTTTAACGACAAAAGGAATTATGGCGACTTCTTGTTATCAAATTGCCATTAGACAAGCCAACTAGATTTTATTTATAGTTTGGTATATTTGGTTTATTTTTCTAATATTTATAACTTTTATCCCTGTGTTGCATCAACATCAACTTTAATACATTAATATAGTACTGTTACTGAGGGATTTAGAGTTTATTTTATAGAAAAATTTTAAATTCAAAAGTTGTTTGTATTGACGTGCTGCAGGTAATGAAAATAGTTACTATTAAGCAGGGTATTTCATAAGCATCTCACAGTACCCAGCTTCATTATTTTAAACGTGCGAACACGCGATATATTATTTGATTTTTAAATTTCCGAGAATATTTCATGGCAGGTTGCTTTTCTGCTTAAGTTTGGTTGTGGTAGTTTTGACAGTCTTAAAACTCTGGCGACATCTTTCCGTATTAACTCCGCATCTTGTTCGTCTATGGCGGAAAGACTTACTTCGACGTTGAAAATGACCTCTTCGACAGGTATTCTTTTTTTGCCTATTGCATAGTTAAATCCTTTCAGTACGCTGACTTCTGCATCGAAAAGATGGTATTCTGAAATATTATGAACTGTAATGCTTTTGGTTTGTATTTGGCAGTGGTTTCTTGGAATTTGACCGAAGGGTTTCTAATTTCTTCCACAGTTTTTTTGACGTGATGTCTTTGTCTTTCTCAGTGCGCCATGATGTTAATAATTCTATGCGGCCCCACAGCAACTGATGGAACTCGTTGCTTAGTTTCAGGTGAAGTTCGAAAAGTCTCTCAGTCTCACTGATTTCATACCGGGTCCGCCTGATCTTGTCTTGGAGTAGGGTGTTGCTAGCTTTGTCGAAGATAGCTTGTGTCTTTCTGGTGCGTGTGTGACACCTATACTTAATCTCGATATTTTCTTAGATGTCTTGGTTAATTGAAAATTTTTGAAAGATGTAACATTATTTTAAACAATGCACTTTTCAACCATATTTAAAGCCTGATAGTTAATCGTTTTTCTGGTAAATGAAAACTAAAGAGAGTCTCAAGAAACCTTATCAACTAATTATAGCATTTTAAATACGACACCCTGTATATTATTATATGGTGTGATGCACACTCTAATTGTACATCGATAACTATACGTTTCTCCATACCTGTTTTCAACGGTTTTCTTACCATTATTACTAAATATATTTGTTCGCTTATTTTATATAAATTGTCACTTCTGCAACGATATGCGACCTCGCGTTTTGAGAACGACACATATGGTGCTCTCGGATTTTGTTTATATTTATTTAGATCTGTTCGGCAAACGAGAAATATACACGGTATTTGTGTGCGCGTTAAACGTAAAAGGAAACCTTTCTTCACAATGGCATTCTCGTTTACACGCGATTGCTAGGGTTTCCTTTTGTCACAATGTCACAAAACTTATATTGATTTTTCGTTAAACAGAACTCGATACTTTTGTCGGAGGTAGTTCGCGCATGCCGATTTTATCGCCAGTCTGCTGCATTTTCATAGCAAGATTTCAGACGCGGTAGCCATCGGCCTGAGGTGCGAAGACACTAGGCTAGAAGAACGGAAGACGATATTGTTAAGGTGATACTATACTTTAAAGATTGTCTTCTGTTGTTCTAGCTAAATGCCTTCGCAAATGAGGTCGAAAGCTGGCAGCCGATTGGATTTCGAACCATTCCAATTCCATTCCATTCATCATTTCCAATTATTTCCAAATCATATCAACAGCTTCCTTATTGCTAAAAGAAATATTAATAGTTTTAAGCTTTTTCTTACGTGTGAAACAAATACAAAATTCCAATGCCGCTTTCCCTCCGTGGCCTACTTTGCATTAAAAAATTATATATATAAAAATTTTATTATAACTATTCCTTCTTTCTATTCTATTTTATCCTATTTTCTATTCTATCTATCTATCCTATTTTCTATTTCTTCTTCTTCGATATTTTGGGCTATTAATAATATATTGAAATATTATTTTCACTAACCCACTTAGGTGTCATTCGCTATATTTCAATGGAGGGTCCTCTCCTGTGTATTTCATAACTTATCGAAAATATATAACTTTTCGTGTAAAATTCAGTGCCGCTCTCAGAATAAGGTCACTTCATTTTTTATTTTGAATTCCAGTTTTTGAATAATTTTAACATTAAAGCATAGGTACACCGAAGACTTAGAGACTTGTCAGTCAATTCTCGATTGGTAGTAAAATTTGTGTTGTCTGAAGTTCTCCGAATCTTTCCATTTAAACAAAAGTCAGCCAAGTTTTACAATAGAACAAGACGGCTAGTAATGGGGATTGTTGTCTTTCATTCGCTTATGAGAAGGTGTTCTCGTTGTTTGCTTTATTTATAACACTGATTTATTTATTTATTTATTTATCAACGGGCCAACCGCCCAATATAAAATAGGATTTACATAAACAAAATAGTAAACAACAAAATAAAATAAATTAAAACAAAATTAAAATTAAAACATAATGAAATAGACAGATGAAGACCTTACCCTAGTATGACAAACATTGGTTTTCCAAAATATTAAATATTGGTATAGTTAGTCGACACGACAGTAAGGACACTTATAAGAGTAGCGAGGCACCAACACAATGGTAAACAAAACCATTGCGAGGAAAAGCGGAATAGTTTTACCGACAGTCTTTAAGTTCTTTCGTAAATATTCTTGCACTCTGGAAGCAATCGAGTTGGTCAGAAAAACGATTCGCTAGTGCAGCTGACCTAGTAAGAAAAGAACTCTGCCCATAGCTAGTACGATGGAACTCCCCCTGGAAGGAGTGGTTTATTCTGGTCTGGCGGGGGGGAACGCGAAGCCCAATCTTACATAACATAACAGCTCATGGTGAGATCCCTCTGCATGCCACGAATCTGAAGATTTGTAAGTTGGAGCGAGTTTTCTAATTCAGAGTCCTGAAGTTCTTGGTGCTCCTTAAATGCTATATATCGCAGGAACCTATGCTGCATTCTTTCTATCGCCTGTATGTGGACGTTATACGAAGGTGACCACACACAGTAACAAGTAACAATAATCAAGGTGTGGACGCACGAAGGAGCAGAACAGTAATCTGAGAGACGGAACACTCTGGAAGTCCACTGTACAACGCTTAATAAAGCCCAAAATCTGAAGTGATTTAGACACAATAAATGAAACATGTTGTGTGTAAGTCAACTTATTATCGAGTAACACTCCAAGATCCCTTATTACGAAAGGCTACAATAATGGTGCCCCTTTTATGTTATACGTAAAATGTATGGAGTTTCTGCTCGGTAGAAGTTCATTTGTTGGCATTTATTAATATTTAGTTCCATTTCATTCAAATCGATCCAAAGCGATAGGTGATCTAAATCGGACTGGAGTTTAATATAGTCATCGGCATTATGGACTGCCATATAGAATTTTAAGTCGTCAGCAAATAATAGGAAACATACGTGATGAAAACATGACGCAATATCATTCACATAGACATTGAAGAGCAGGGGTCACAGGTGCCATCCTTGTGGAACACCAGAAGGCACTCTAATTTCTCACTGCACTCTTTCAGTAAGGAACGATGTTAACCATTAAAAAAGTTATCCCTGGATTCCAATGTTTCGCAATTTTTCTATTAAGATTTGATGATTTACTCGGTCAAAAGCCTTTGAAGAGTCTGTGTAAATGGCATGAACGTGAGACCCCCCTCCAATGATTCCAGCAGAAAATCTGTAAACGTGAGCAAGTTTAGCTCGGTGGAGCGATGGGGGAGAAATCTAAATTGTTGGTCGATGAAGCAACCTTTAAGGCCAGCAGATAAATAGTCTCAAACTAATCTTGATTTCCAGTAATTTGGAAAGGTTCCTGTTTTTAAAGAATGGTTAAAGATTATATAAAGTGGTCTGGAAAGTATGAAGCTGCATTGCTTAAAAATATTCTTAATAATATTCTTACTGTATTTAACTAGGATGTATTTTTTTGACAATATTGTCTCATAGAGGACTTAAAATACGCAAGTTCATATTAAAATTTTAAGGTTAAAAATATGAAAATACTGATTTATTTTGTTTCTAAATAATACCCACAAGAAAATGTTGCTTCAATATTATAATTTACCATTTTGAAAAACGTTTATTAATTAACACCGCTAGGTGGTAGTACGTAATCTACGTACACAAGATTGTCACCGTCAAAAATAGTCGAAATATGTCACTACCACTTAGTTCATAGAAGGATAAAACATTGAAATGATTTTACAAATTACAAATTACAAAATTACAAATTAGATTGACGATTGAACCCTAGAAGCCCAAACAGGAAGAAAAATTGAGAAATAATATATTAACGTGTACGTGTAACAATCCTAATCACTGCCCACTTCAATGTAAATAAAATTTGTCTCACAAACTGCATTTCCGTTCAGGTTTGCTAGCTGGAGTTCACTGGCAACACAATACCTAACCTTTCAATTTTCTCGTCACCCAACCTGAAACGGTGTACGCGAAAAAATCTTACACATCGAACGTGCCCCAATAATAAAACTCAAAAAGCCGAGCAACAAAAATGCGTATTGTCGGAGGGCACAAAATAATAAATCAGCAAAGAAAGGCGAACGTTTAGGAGGCCCATTAATTTTACGGTAGGGCAGTCAATGGCGTGGCTCGTTAGCTTATTAGCCAGGCAGTGTTATGCTTAGGCACGTTTCGCCCACAAACTATTGTCGCTTCAGACACCCTCAATTTCAGTAAGTTCAATACGCGACCGGGAGGGCGGCGGTTGTGTGTGTAAAGTGACAATCTTCACATCCGCCGCTTAGTGCGTGTTTGACTTTTATTAAAACGTCACATATTCTTCGTCGGATTCCTGATTACTTTTCGAAATTGTGAGGGGGAACCAGTTTTCGAATTAATTCGCATCCCATAAATATGGTGCCTTAAAAAATATCAACAACGAACCTATTTTATACAAGAATTGTTGATCAGTAGACATAAGTGTAAAATTAAGACTGAAATTGTAAGTCTTTTATTACCTTTATAGCAAAAGGAATTCCAAAAGTAGATGTTTTCTATGACAGTACCTGTTGATCATCAAAGGCGCAAAGACATAAAATTGAGAGAAATATAAGTAGAAAGAAGAGAAAAACAAGTAAAATTTTTACAAAAGACCAAGAAAGTGATTATTTTTCGAATAAAACAATTTTTAATAATTATGCAATTTTGGTATATTGACCAACGTTGGATTTGTATATTACATATTTATTTTGTGAAATATTCTTGATCATTTTAAAGTACATAACCACACCTAACAAAAACGTCTGCGATTGTCTACTAGGTACTAATAATAACGATAACGTTTATTCTCCTTTAGGACTTCAGTTAGGCAGTGTATAAGAAAGTTAGCACAGAATTAGTAGACACAATTCTACTTGTTTCTGATACGAATAATTCTGTCTTGTAATGTATTTAAAAATTTACTGTCACAGTCAGAAATTACACTTTCTTTACCCGTTCATTTTAATAATTTAGTTATAATTTCGAACTGCTATTTGTAAATCTTTTCTCACAAAATATTTTTGAGGACTATATGATGTATGCCTTTAAATTATTTTTAAAAGCTTTCCCTTAATAATCGTTTTTAACCCTTCAGGGAGGATATTATATATTTCTGGATTAAAAGATATAATGCCTCTGTGACTTACAATCGACATTTGCAAAGATATTTTTATAAGGTGTGTCATATCTATGGAAAACACTGTGAAGTTTAATTTTAACTCCATTGTTTGTGATTCTTTATATTAAGTATTGACTTAAGGGCCCGTTTTTATATTGCCTTCAAATGCTTTAAATATCAGAAATTACCACTTCTCCAGTTACTGACTGACAACATGAATGAATGAATGAATGAATCGCAATATGAACAGTATAATATTGTTTTAATTGGATTTGGCTAAAAATTGAAAGAAATTTCGAAATTTTTTTACCAGCGCCCTATAGCGCATATACCTACCAACATTTAGTCCCAGATATTTCACACAATTGCGCTTCTGGACTGACAACTATAAATATGAGCGATGCCATATTATGGTGCCTCTTTATGTATATATCATAAAAAAACAAATGCCTCCAAAAGCGATAAAGATATCAAAGACCGCGTGAGTTGGTTTTCATTTTGAAAAATAATGTTAAATTACGACCGTTCGTTGTAACGTGAAATATGTTTAAGGTGTGGTTCAAAAACAGAAGGGCAAAATGTAGACAGCAGCAGAAGCAAGTCACCCAACATAATCAGCAGCAGAGTACTGACAAATCGGCACGTTTGAAGAGTAACAAGACCACTACGTCAACGATAATCACCAAGTCGTCACCTACAACCCCTCCGGTGTCGGTCACTAGCAATAACAATACCAGCACCAGGTAGTTAAAAATTAGCCAAATCTTCCCACAAATAAATTGAAGAAGTAAAGAAATGCGACAAAAGAAATGCAACTCCGGCATAACTGACTATATCGATTATTTTTCTGTAGTTCATCTGCGAGTTCGCCGTCAGTGCATGCAGCGCCACACCTTAGGGACAGTCCGAACTATGTAAAGCCTCAGCTATTGCCTACCTGTGGCAGCACCAACTCGCCGACGGTAAGAACGACCACTCTTTTTCAATTTATTGAACCGCCGTTATGAAACGTTTTTTCTCTAGATTGCCTCTGCGACGTACACAAACTCGGCGAACTCTAGTATATGGTCTCCAGCGTCCATAGATAGTTTCGCTCTCGATCAACATCGGTGGTGCTCTACTACCCAATCGAGCATTATGACCACCACAAACTCATCGTCGAATTGTTATAACAATTACTATTATTCAAACATGGACTATCTTAGTTCAGCGAGCATGGGCCATTCGCAATTCGGGGTGAGCAAAACAAAAACTTTTTCAATTTTCGACACACTGAAGAAATATGCCATTTGTTAGTTACTTGTATTTTTTTTTATAGATTACTTATAAATAATGTAACGTCATGTTTATGTTATATTTCAGGAAAATACTTTGGAGGCAAGTTGGAGCAAAAGTAGGGACGACTCCGCATGGCTCTACAATGGTACCTGGGATCGAAAATGAAATACTAATAAGGGCAAATTAAGAATTTATTTTATTTTAGCATATTTTAGTTACCTGTCGATAAATGAATTTCTCAGTTAAGGATTTATATCCCTTACTGTAGTGTATAGTGTATATATATGGTTATAGAGTGTTTTGTAATGAGTCTAACGATTGAGGCTCTGATTGAGGCTCGATTTATTTTCTATAATTCCCTTCCACGCAGTTGTTGAATCTTTTCATATAAACTGTAGTCTCTATCTATGCCTTAGTTATTCTGTGGTTCTCAAATTATAACTATGCTCTCACCACTTTAAAACAAGATTCTATCACTCGCCACCCATCTCCGTTCGTTTCAATTCCAATCAAATGAGCCCAACAGACAATTAACATAGATGCCTAAAAATAATGAGACTCAAAACAAGATAAATTGTAATCTAAGTATTCCGATTCAATAGTTCTACTTGCCATTAAAATCATTATCCTACTCACACCATTACACCACTCACTCACGTTTAAGGCTGCGTTTTGTTTATCAAAACATTTAATATGTATGGACGGAGAAGGTTCTGGTGTTGAATCTTGAATGTTTTGTGGACCCAACATCAATGAAAGAATGCTCTATGGCAAATAATGTGGTTATTCAAACGCATATCAAATTTTTGCATTTGGGTTAAAAGTGTTTTTGCGGCAATACTGTTTCAAATGTCAGAATTCGAACTCAATATCGCACGTAATCCGACTCTCAATTTGATAAATGGCATTTGAAATTAATTTACCAACTGCACGTGATTTGATTGTGCACCAGAGTTGTGAAATTTTATTGACTTGAATTGTAGAATTTTAATAGATTTCATTTTTGGATAGTTTTGATTAGTTTTAGTTCAGATAAGGGATGCAACAATTGTTAAAATATGAGACGATTATTAGCAGCAATCAAAAATTCAAGTCAATTCACAAATATAGGGCAGAGACAAATCAGGCGTACTGACTCGCCGTTTCGCGATGTACCCACGAACTTATATAACCTGTAATATTTCAATGGTTCGAATAAATGCCAAACCCTGTAGCATCTGACAATTAATGTACTCCGCCTCAAACCGCAGGGAACTTGTCACCACGCATAGTATCAGCAAAAAATGACCGAATGAATTTTTCTGTTAGTTACATCTTTTGTTGGTCAGAATGCTTTTGCTGAAGGGAATTGGGTTCTAAATATTGTGTCGTAAAATTACGTGCTAGAGGATACCCCAAGTCAATGTCTCCAACTTGGCACGCGTACTCATGTGCCTAAACTAACGGAAACTAATAGTCCCTTTCATTTATGTTATATATGTATGACCATGGTTATTTATAAGTTCGTGGTTGAAGCGGAAAATTGAAACGTTTGACCAATTACAATAATTTTGACGAATTTAAATTAGAATGCTCCAAAACAAAATACATTCGAAATCTTTGTAGGGACGTGCCAAAATTTGTGTCGTAAGATATCTTTGATAATTTTGTAATGTACATATCTGTAAACTGGTCAGTGATTGTTAGATTCGAATAATTAATCTTATAGGATTGTGTCTACATTGAGAGTAGCAAAGTTCTAAATTTGATCTCTTATTATTATTATAACGAATGAGGCCTAAAAAATCTTAAAATTCCAACGTGTTTTTTTTTTTGCTATGTTTAGGTCGTCGAGTCACTATATAGTGCAATCGTAGAGGTTATGTTTTCTTCGGTTTCTCCTAGATCCGCATTATTCAATAAAAAAGTTTATTTTGTTTGTAAATTAATTTATTACGTCAAAAAGGATTTGTATACAGTCCAAAAAAATATATTGTAATGTGTAAAATGTGTCAAGATTTTACATGGTACAACAAGTATTCCACAAGTTCTCGTTTAGTTTTTTTATCCATCGCCTTCACATACTGCAAAGCCTGGTCAGCATCACGGTCTTCGTTAATGAAAAGCTGACTCAGTTTTACGAGGTCAGGTTCGAATTTTTTACAAATCAAATCTTTCAAGGGTATATCATAGTATATAATCACCTAAAATTACCCTAGGAATTACTTAATTACAAATTATGCAGCACAACTTACGGTGTTTTTAAAAGTGACATAAATCAAAGCGGTTACTTGAGATATCCCAGGTCCTAAACTATACCAGCCGCTGTGGAAGGCCCGCACAGGTTCCTCCAGATGGAACCTCACCGAATTCTTTTTCTGATCCAAAATGTATGTTTGCCCGTCCCAAGAACATACAACAATGTCATCTGTTCCATTGCCGGTAATATCAAGCTTGGTAAGTGCAAAAATTTGGTGGTCTACCGCAATCGCCCTAAATTAGAACCAATGGACTTATTTCTGGTTATCTTACTCTTACCTACCACAAGATGACTTCGTCCTGTACCAACATTATTGTACCATCTAAAGTTGCAACCGCATATGGTCTACTCTTATTGCTATTTTCCTGGTCATCACTAGTCTTTAAATCACCAAGAATCTCTGTAGAAATATTCTGATTTCTCATTCTAGAGATTCCTAAAAATTGATAGTCAACTGAACCACAAGGGTTTTCACCACTGGAGCTGTTTTCTGGACTCTGATCAATGTTACATGAATGACATTTTATTCTCATGAAAGTGCCACCTGGCTGAGCTACAAGAATGGACGGTTTTCCATCTGCAGAATAGTGAAGAGTAATAGATCCGATCTGCTTAGCACATTCCCACTTGTGCAAAGCCACAAATTTGCCTACAATTATTGTGCATAACCTATATTTTTTACCATATAGCACCCACCTGATGGTTTGTGTGACAACTGACATTGATCTCCATCAATGGGGGCATTACTGACCCACCGATAGGAACGTACAACCCTATCTGTTAATCCGATTACCATTTCTACTTCTCCGTCTCCATCGACATCCCCTAAGACTATATTCTGCAAACAAAAATTCAAGTTGATTACAGCATTTACGAAAATGCTGAAAGGCCAACCAAAATAAAATATAGGTTTTTAGTTTAACTAACAGAATTTCTAACATAAGCCTGTCCATTGTGAATCCTAGGATCAGAATTAGTTTAAAAAATGTTTTGCTTCTTAGAGGCTAATTTTAGGTTATGTACCTACTTTCACATTGGCAGGTATTCTTTGAACATGAACCTGCACCAATAGATTTTTTGAAGATTTGTTTTTTAATTTATGATCCCCTGTAGTTGATTCACTGCTGCTCTGCGTTTCTGTGGTGGGTACACTGGAAGAGGATTGAGTCTGACCATCTACCTCATCTTTATTATTAACAGATTTGGAAGTGACTTCAGTTTCATAAAGATAACACCAACCATCACTGGTAATTATTATCAAACTGTTTCTTTCTTGATTGGTTATTTTACCAACTGCTACGCAAGAAATAAAACTCAAGTTTGGAATTGTTTGTAACACTTCATTTCCCTAAAACAGTAACAGCTAACAATATTCAGGAAGCAGCCGATTTTTATTTTACCTTAAATATAACCACTGTACCTAAGTCATTACCAATAATAAGTTCATTGAGTTCATCATTATCGACATCACCCAAAGTTAAAGCATTCCTAACCACATTGCCTGCAAATTCAAATTCTATTTTCTTAACTAGCGATATGGCACGCATTTTGCTAAAAGACTTCAACCACTGTTAAATTCAAAGGCCTACGTGATTTGGGAAGGGATGTTTCAATAATTTGCCACCGTGAGGGGGGCCACACTATACAAGAAGCTTTGGCAGTGATTAAACCTAATGAGACTGGGCCGAAATTATTTGAGTCCATTGAATGACCAACGTGGTCACCTTCAATCCAACAGTGGCCCTCTGGAACTCGAACCACCCCTTCTTTATAACTTAAAGTTGCGATAATATCACCCTGAATTCCTACCACGCGCTTTATAATCTTCTGAGTTGGATCTTTAGGGGATACTAAGGACACTATATCTCCGCGATTCACTTCGTAAGATTTCACAGCTATTCTGTTTAAAAAGACGTAATCAGTGGAATTTTTGTCCGGATTTAATACTGGTTGCATAGATATTCCATCCACTCTGGCGACGTAACCCACTAAATCTATGATAGTAATACCGATTGGTATTCCGACAAATACTTTTTTAACAAAACTTGGGATTTTCATTGACTTGTTCTAATTCTTTAATACTATAACAAATTTAAGGTTACGTTACTTGACAGGTGACATATCATGAGCCATTTATTTTTAGGTTATCCCGTTTAAAATATCCAGCTGAGTTTAGTAATGATATACGTTCTTGCTTTCCTAAAATATTTAAATCTTAAAAACGCTTTGTATAAGGTTCATTTTCGTTGTTCGAAAGTTTAGAAAGGTAACTTTGTTGGTCGATATCTTCCTCCCTCAATGTAGTTATTTGAAAATGGCTGACGAAATAGCGAAAAGAAATTTTAGTCATATTTTGACGAACGTAGGGCGAAAATTTGACATCTTGCAAACTAAGTGGACAGGCAATAAACTTTTTGAGGCGAAATTCCGGACAGAAATTCCGAGAAATAACGATGATTACAATACTCTATGCGATCAGTGGGTCGATTTATTTTCCCAAATGACAAACACTGTGTGGGTTAAGAAAATATCGAATACGGGACCGAAAATAAGATTTCGCAAACAGTATCAATGCTGGACGCAGCCAGAACAAATTATCAAAAAGGAACTGTTGTTTGACGCTCGAAGGTGTAGGGCTACTATTGATTTGAAAGTTTTGGCTGATAGCCCACAATCGAGGAAAAAATTGAAACATCTGAGAATTGGCTTAAATGTTGTAGTTAAGGTTGGTCCATTTAAAGGTACGGCGACCCTTCAGCGGCGACATGCATATATTTTTTTAGATGAATTTCTCCCATCTCCATGAACTGGACACCTCCAAGGATTTTGCTTTTTTTGTTCACCTATGTGAGCCGCTTCCTGAGGTTCCAAAGCAGGCTGTGCAACCGAATCCCATGCTTCCGCAACTAGTGGCGAAAATGGTGGAAAAAGGTCCAATAACTTCAAGGAAAGCGGCCGAACGTGCAGAAGAAGCCGTTAAAAGACAGTGTTTACAGTCGTCATTCCAAAGTAAACCTTTAATGGACAGTACATTGAATACCTCGACACCAACTGTGCAAATACTTCAAAATGTTCCTCTCAATAATGTCACTACAGACAATCTCAACCCAAAAAATCAGTCTTATACTCAAATTGTTGTTAATTCGCCAGATGGGCAAGCCACAGAAACATTTTTAATGTGCCAACAGTTGATGTTTGATGCATCCTCTCAAATTATACAAGAAGTCATTCCATTAACGACTTCCAGTTTGGCAGGTGATACATATATACAAGTGCAAATACCCGACTTGAATGGAGGAACACTTTAGTGACTTGCTCATTTATATAAACCGGACCTAATTTATTTTCACACTAAACGTATTAATAAAAGATAAGCACCAAACAGTTTTATTATTTTTACGTCTCCCATTTAACTCCAGCCCCAGGCCTATTTATGAGGTGCTCTCCCAAAAAACTATTTTCTTGGTGATGCCATCTAGTAGCTGATAGCATCACTACCAAAATAGATAGGCAGGTGGCGCTTAATTATTCATACCACTCGTGCTGTATAGACATAGATGGCGCTGTTTGCTTTACAGCCAGCCATTTTCTGAGCTTACCTAGAGCGGAAACCGTAAAATTTTCCAAACGTTGAAAAAATTAAACAAAAGGCAATGTAAAAGAATAGATTACTTACGTGCATGAAAGAAAAGACGGAGCGCCATTATTTTAGCCGTTAGGCTAGCGAAAGTGAAGGTTTAAGAGGTCATTTGAGTGGTTCACAAAATTATACAGGTAGGTCTAGTAGACCGTATAACAGGTTCATGTTTCTACTGAGGCGCAACGGTAATCAAGCTTTACCTGACGCAATCAACAATACTCAGAACTGTAACAAAAGAATATAACAACGATTTAAAAATTCGACGCACTGAAAAGCGCACTTTCAGTTTGACGACGTTCCAAAACACCGTTTTAACAGTCGAAAACCACCAACGAATTCTTTTATTAAATGTCACAAATGAAAATGATAAACATGTTATAATTATTATTACATCCCTTTTTCTGCACATTTCTCAAGCCTTCGTGGCCAAGGTTTGTTTTCAACCCTTAAACGATCGACGCATATATCATCTTTACGATTCGATGTCACAACACAGTAATAAAGTATAGAATTCCCTCGCAAAAACAAACAACGAAATCTATTCGGCAGCGTTAGAGTTCATGAAATTCCAAGTAGTGGGAACTTACCGTATACGTAGCATTTGAGTATAAGTTAAAATTTATAATATCGCTTCGACGTATTCTCGCTGAAGAAGTTTCGTCGGGTTTTATGTTCGTCGCTGTTCGATTTCGAGGGAGTTTATTGCAAATTCGGTAATTTTTTTTGGGGCCATTGTTTCAGTTGTGTGTTCGCTATACTATGGTTCACATTTGCTTTAATTTTCGGGTAAGTAATTGGAGCGTCCCGACAGCTTGACGGGTAGAGGGTGTGTTTTGAATTTATTTTTTAATATGCTTTACTTCCCTTACCATCTGAACGTAGATGTAGGTACAGGTTGTTATTTAATAAGTGTCCGATACTTCACACGTTGATTTGTTAACCAATTTTTAAGGTAAAATGAGGTGCTGTGTATATTGTTTTGTTTTCGAGATACGGTGTGTTAAAGTTTTATTTTTGTTTTTACTTGTTTTAGCCGTTACTTATGACTTGCTTATGACTTTTTGTATGCCCCTGAATTATATTTTTGTTAAAAAAAATCATCTTTACCTTTTTTTATTCGCTGGGAGCAATCGTTCTTAGAATTATTTTGGTTTGAAGTGAAATTCTAATAAAGATCAAAATCAAATAAGATAGTATTAGTATTAGTAAGTAGATAGTAACAAACGGTTGCTCCTAGCAAGACATGAATGAATTCAGCTTTCTTTCCAAAAGATATTATACTGGGTTGTACAAAAAGTGATAAGCCTTTGAACTTGAGCAAAGACATATTGGTAGCGCCCCCTACAAGTACAAGTACAATAGCTAAATTAAGAACAAATTAAATTCAGCGTAGCAAAACAATTTTCTTTTGTCTGTTCTGTGCAGTCAAATGACTATAACTTTCGAACGGGTAAGGCTAGGGAGTTTATCTTTTTTTAATGATTTTCAGCTGTTTTTCGTGCTTCGAAATGAAGCAATGTAAGCGTCCGAAATTTGGAGCTATCTACTTGAAATTTTGCAAGCGGATAGAGCTTAGTTGCCTAACGGAACCTGATGAAGTGGATGCGGTCTCTAACCACTCGACGTCGGTTATTCAAAGCTATAACATTTACGGAAAGCCTTTTTCAATATTTACATTTACTTTTTTTTCGTTAAAATCGCTTGTAAATTAAATAAAGGTATTTAACGTAAGGACCTTAATTGACAGTTTTTCTGTAGAGCAAAGTATGCAGTTTCGATAGCTGCCATTTTAACATTTATTGTTATCGTCTGTCATAAAGGGGACTGAAGGAAAATTAACATAAAAGAAAGAAGAAACTAAACCGACGACATATATTTATTATTATTGTTATTATTATTATTATTAAACAACTAACAGTTAAAAGTAATATACAGCTTTTGGTGCTTTAGGCAATGTATAATACACAGAAAGCCAAGTAATAAGTACCCACGGTTTATGAAAACTATTCCTTGTGTAACTGACCAGTGAGACTACTTATTTTTAATTGGCATTTTGCTTCATTAAAAACCAATTAAATTGTTATCCACTTTTTCCTGATTACCAACATGAACAGACCTAAATAGGGATCAAAATTAACTTTTGGGTTGCAAGAAATATAGATCGCCAAGTTACATTGTAATAATTACTGTTGTAATTATAGCCCACATAAAATGGATGTTGCAAAATCACAGTCAATTTACCTTGAAACGGCGTATTTGCTTCATTTCTTCAGGCATTTTTAGGACTCGGTTGATTACAGGAAAACGGTCTCAGATTCCAAGTGGTATTTTATTATACCACGGCATCCGGTTGGCGACTTTTTCCACAGGGTCTTATCTCCCAACCGATCGAGAAAAATGTCAAGGTTCTTAGTACTATCTGGGGAATTATAAAACACGAATCTTTAATATCATTTTTTGTAATTCAATAAATTAATCGTTGCTGTCGTTATTAAAGGGTGGTGCCTTGTTGGATATAAAAACAAAAATAAAAATTGTTCCAATTATTTTCCTGTGGATTTTTGCACTGCGGCAAAAATAATTAAAAAAAAAAAATACGAAAAATTCGATTTTGGAATTCGGACGCAAAAAAAGTCTCCGTTACGAATATTTTTCTATCGCGTTTTAGATTTTCTGTGCACAAAATGGAGCATATATTCTGCAGCAATAAAGGTTTATTGACGGATGTTTTAAAAATTTGAAACGTAAAATTTTTTGTGGTGTGTGGTAGAAAGCCAGTTTGCTTCCCGTTTATAGATTTTAAATTTTTGGTTAGCACAAATCTATTCTGTGTATAATTGAAAAAAAAACATAATTGTTTTACTTTTTTACACAAAATAAAAATGTGAATAGCCTAATAACATTAAATATAAGAAATGACACGTTATGTACGGACAGACACATTTCGAAAATACTTTGTTGAACTTGAGTTTTCCCATTTTTTTATATAATTCATTTGGTATTGTTAGCAATGTCAGCTCACATGTCAGTAATTAGGTGATAATTGTGGCTAATTCTGACTATATTAGAGCACGATTATAGACGAAAAACACCAAACCCCAATATTGCAAAAATTATAATGAAAATTGTAACTTATGAGGTTTGAAGATTATGTCGACGATATGCAGCTGCTAATTTTTCAAAGAAACTTCCTGTTCCTGTTCAGTTCAGTCGACGCAGGAGGAATCCAGAAGTTTTGTAAATAGTATAAGCAACTGCATTATAGAAAATGTTTGAAAAACTTAATAAATAATCTAATAAGATCAAAAGAAAAACTAACCAAAACTAAGTTTAGGGTCGATTTGCACTGTTTTACATAAATAATTGACGAAACACGCAAAGAAGAAGTAAACACGAATTAAAAGGGCCTTTCGTGCCGGAAAAAACTGCGAGCGATCTTTTTATATATTTTCAACCACGGCACGAGAAATATTAACTGCCATAAACAAAGTTTGCAACAAATATCCTTCTTAATGGATGATGTACCGGGTAACATTCCAATCGAAGTGGCCGACATTATATCGTTCCCCTTCTCAATAATTATCAACCATCACTGAAATAATCTAGAGTCATACCTGTCTACAAGGGCAAGGGTGACGCAAGGGAGGTTAAAAATTATCACTAGCATTGCAGTGTCAGTTCGGCAACATTTTTTAAAGCTCTTTTAACGATCGTCTGGAGCGTTTCCTAGAAAAATTCAATTTATTATCACAATATCAAAACGGATTTAGATGAGGTTTATCTACTAACTCAGCCCTTATGTCGGCCATAACGAGTGTACATAAAGCATTGAATAATAAAAATATGGCCTTTTCTTTTGACATGACGCGCGCCTCTGACACTGTCGACTACGATCTGCTGCTAAAAGAATTAATATCTGTTGTAGTGAGAGGACCAGCGTTAAGCTGGATAGACTCGTATTTACATAATCGAACGCAGCTGGTGGAAATCAGTGGTGTTAGATCCAGCATTCTAATCTCTACATTGTCTATATCTATCTACAACACTCTTCAATATTTTTACTAATGACTTGCCAGGCTTCCTGTACGCCGACGACAGCAATATTATAATTAGCGCTAAAAACACTAAAGAATTAGCCACTAAGAGTAGTGCTGCGGTGGATATCATGAAATTGTGGTCCAGATCAGGCGGGATACATTTAACTGCGAGTAAATCAAACGCAGAAACAATTTATAATGAAAAACCGGCCTATGGGTTTCAGTATCTTAATAAAAACAGAAAATAAATCGCTGCAGAATAATGACAGGAAAACATTGTTAGGACTCTATGTTGATCCATAATTTTTATGGACTGATCATATTGATAATATTCTATCGAAAATTAGCGCTTATTGTTACTTAATAAAAATTATAAGAGACCGTGTTAAAGTAAAGTTTTCTGGGGACAAGCATATGACGCACATTAGAGCCATAGCAAGGGTATCACGGTAATGCAGAGAACTTTTTGGTCCGTTACAAATTTTGACACTGACAGCTCTTTACATGTACTGTCACTAAAAAAAAACCCGAAAAATGAAATTGAGCCACCTTTTCATAGACTATCAATTTGTCAACAAAACCTGGATTACATTGGCATTAAATATTCAAACAAATTGTATCGACTCGACCCCAGCTTTGCTAAATCAAAACTCAAGCAGTTCCTTGTTAAAAAATCATAGTATACGCTGTCCGAATTTTTCAATCGGAGATGGGAGATCTCCAGGTTTTTGAGGTCTTATGAAAGGTCTGTGTGATGTTGTTTTTTTTTTGCTCTAAGTGTATATTTATTTGTTTGTTTTTTTTAAGGTATATTTTAACGTATATTTGTCCTTTAGATCAATTGATATTTTTTTATTACCTGGATTGGAGTTAATAAAAATGAAATAAAAAAAATTGTGGAAGCTGCGAGTCCGATCGCATCGGATTAATTTGTAAAACGCTAATACGCATTTTGTCAGTTTCCATTTACAAATACCAAAGGAAAATCCCACATTCGAAGAGGCTTGCGAACCTATTGCGCAAAAGTATGTGTACTGAAACAAAACAATGGCAAAATATTTGCCGTTTTCTAATAGACACGAAAATAAACGAGTTAATTGGTAGGTACACAGTAGTCGAAAAAATACCAGTTTTAAATGTAGGTCAATTCCATTTTTAACGTCGTCTATTTAAGAGCTAAGAGTGTTCTTAACTAATTAGAAATAACCACAACAGTTAAGTATAACTCTCCAGTAATTTTTTTCTTTCGGGCAACCGGGATAACGATAAAACATTGAGGTTGATATTCGTGCAGTATCCTCAAATTCCAACACATTTCAGACTAAACAAAATTTTTTTAAGAGTTTGTTTGCTGTGCCATAAAAATCAGACTAAACAAAAACTTTTTAAAAGTTTTTGTTTAATTGCGGTGCCATAAAAAATAAATCTTAGTTGTCGCGGCAAGTTTATTTATATGTGTAATTTGCGACGAAAACAGAAAGCGTACTTATTGGATGATGCGTCACAACAATGAGAATTATAGTTAAAATTTTCTCAATAAACCTCATGAGAAAAATATTCAATCCTGTTTTGTAATAGTAGGAAGTCGTTCAATTCATTTCTTACGCAATATGATAGATACTACAATTGAAATATAATAATCATATATCTTGATTGATTTCTAATATAACTCATTTTTCTATGGAAATGAAATATATGCAGGGTATTTCTCAAGAAATGTTATTATTATTAACACAAATAGCAGCTCCAAATAATCAACAACAACAATCTACGAATATCTTCAAGTTAACATTTAAAACAATGCACTTATTAAAGTTACGTGGCTCTGGGATTTTTATTTTGATTGTTTCTTTGTTAATATTTGTTTTAATGCATCTACCTACTCCTAAATGTGATTCTACTCCAATCTGTAAAATAAATAATTACGCACCAAACGTGGGGAAGCCACACTTTACCACGTCAGTTTCGTTTCCCACGGATTCGAGCCAATTCGGATATTTCCGGGATTTTACCGCACGGGTTTGGGAGCAATCGGATGTTTCGGAGATATTTCCCACGCCTTGAATTTTGACGTTTGTCAATTCTGACGATCAAGTCAGTGAATGTATTCCTGTTGTTTTGTAAAAATGTACCCAAAAACTAACGGTCGTAGAAAAAGTGTAGTATGCAACACGTTCGGTAATACATCTTAAGTCACTCGTTTATTAAACACTCGCTCCGCTGGGGTCAAATAAACTCGTGAGTCAAGTGCCGTTTACAGCACTTGTTGCATAATATACTATTATCGCACTTGTTGCATAATATACTATTTCGGCCATCTATTACCATTACGCCATTGAGATGCCTCATGGAAATGAGATTGACGCCCAGCGCTAAAAATGTGTGAAATTAAAGAAAGTGTAGGAATTTTACTAAATATCCATCATTATATTGCAAAATTCGAGTCTTAAGTTCAAATCTACTTCTTGTTTTTGTACTGATATGAATTTAAATGACTTAGAACTGTTCATTTTTAAACATGTTTGAAGTATGGTTCGTCTTACGTCTGCATCTGAAGCGGCAAAGCGAGTGGATTATTTTCAAAATGCAGAACAATATCTAGTTGTATTCTCATCCGAAACCGTTCGTCTCCTACTTTTTTTTCTAATTTTTGTCAGGACAGCTTTTTCGTCCTTCGTATACATTATACAAAATAAACTCAATAAAAATGCAACTAAATAAAATAAACATAAAACTGTGTCCGAAATATACGCTTAAAATATTATAATACACTGATACCTGTGAAAAAATCGGTAATATGACCACAACAGAGAACTGCTATTGTTTTCAAAGCTGCTGCGATCATTATGTCAAAAAGGTCAAGTTTTTTTCCTTATTTACAAGATTCCTAAATTACGAATGTAAAACAATTTATGTATTATTGGATAATAATTTCCAATTAAGTCAAAACGGTTAGTCAGAGACCCGTGCCATGTTATATAATTGAAATTGCTATTAAAATGACGATTCGAAAATCCAACAATATACAGGCTGTCTCATTTAAGCAAATTGAGCAAAGTATCATTTTGCGAAACGTGGCTACCATGCGTATTGTAATAAAATATTTAACATTTTAAAATTAAAAAAGTTTAAAAAGTTAATGATGGTTTAAACGTAACCAGAATTCTGAAGATGATCGCGAATAAGTTCGAAACAGCGCATCACAGACCCACACGATAACGATTCCTCCGAGCAATGACATCTCTCTTTCAATCTGTTGTCTGTATCATGCACTTTGCATATAGTCAAATGTCGAAATAATTTTATATAGCGTTGACTTGACAATGAATTTAGAATTATTTTTTTCTCTACTTTTCTTCTTATACCTTCTACATTTATATTTTAATTTTAATCGATTTAATACTAAATTACAAATTTTGGATCAATAACAAATAATCAATAGCCACATTGTTATATATTTTATTTACAACGTGTTTACAAACAAAAAATCTACTGTTTTCTTCCAGGAGAATAAATGGTACTGTTACGGCATTATAGGCGTAATGGTTTGGAGTATAACTCAATCTTCGTGTCAGAACCTCTACAACGACCCCAGAGTTTTCAACCCGCACCCCTATCAACATCAATTCGCCAAAATGTTGAATCCGGGCCCCGTGGTTTTTCCAACCAGTCCCGACGAAGGTGCTTCTAGTATAAGCAACCGATACAACATAATCACTTTGAATAGTGTCAATAGCAACCCTGAAGCTGGGCCTTATCCCGAAGTCGCGAGGAAAATTAAATTCACATTTACCGGCCAAAGTGAAAAACAGGTAAGATTACCGCATTTTTAGGCGTCCCCTTGTATTAAGAAAAAGGATAAACTTTGGCATACTAGTGACAATTTCCAGAAACGCCCAAAGTAGTTATAAAACGGATCTACAACCACTGCCAAAATCAATGTCGCACTTAATAAACAATGGAAAATCTTAAAATTAAAAACACTTAAGTTAAACGGTTTCAAGATATTATATACTCAGTTTACATTTAGCGAATATTTTGTTCAATCTAAGGGCGTTGACTGACACATTTGACTTTGGTGATTATAAATAATATCTTAGTAGTGGAATCACATTACCCTTTCTATATGTCGGTGGTAATTATTCAGAATAATTTCTCCTAGAAATACGATCACGCTGACTCCCCACCCCAGTGCCAGAATGGCAAAAGCGACCACTAAATGAGTCAGCTGAATCTTTACGTAGTTTTTCTTTTTATTCGATTGTCGGTCCTTGATTTGATAGATTTCCTTGCTGAGACCAAACTGTGAATAAAGTAGCAAGAACGATTGCAACAAGCCTCTGCAAGGTGACCGACGTTTGACATAATATACAAGGTTAAAACCGCCCACCAGTTCATCGGCAATGTAGAAAGTTTCTCGCACAACTGCCGTTTTTCGTCCAATAGGGTAGAAAATAACTCGCAGGGACTATATAGGCTGCATTGGTATGCGAAGCTTCCAAATGATGTCCTATCTGTACATGACTCATTTTCTGCATTTGGTCCAATTTGTGAATGTTGGCGACAGTCATAAAATACCATTCTGGAGCGATATAGATCGTCATTCCACTGTCTTCTAGTTGTTGATAGTGTTGATGACACCCGCACAGCTTGGGGACGTGATGGCGGATATCACTAACCCCTGAAAACTGTTCGTGTTCGTGAAAATATGGAAGAAGCTATCATTAGAATTCTGGTATTTTCTCCGGTCGTGCACAGCGTTGCTTGGAGTACGTAACGAAAGAGGTATTTTAATATAGAAAACAGCGTCACCATGACTTCAATTAATGCCCAGATGTCTTGGTCGAAAACGTTGAACAGATTCTCCGAAAACGATGTGAGCTTCGGTTTCGGCACCAGAATCAACAGTCTGTCAAATCCGTGGGGATATCCGAAATCGGCGATATCGCGAGTTGATGAAATTATTTTAATCAGAGCTTCATCAACCTCTCCATTGTTCACTAGTTGAAAAGCTCTGATATAATCCTTGTGTGTCTTTAGGATCATTTTGTTGGACGATATGTCGATTTCTCCATTGGTCACTTCTTGATATGCTTTGGTGTAGTCACGGTTTGGTAGAGGTTGGTGTAGGTGTTTCCAGTTGGGGTTGACGTCAAGATATCCAGTGTGTTATTGATAAGTTCTAAGTCGTCGACGAAGGCGAATGCGAATTTAGACTTCATCATGTGAGAAGATTCTGGCAGCTCTCTATTCCATACTCCAGTGGTGCAATTTCTTATCGCTTTGAATTTCATAAACCATGTGACAATATCCTCTGCGGCGCTGCTTTTCACGTTAACGAATTCGATGAGGTCGGTGTGGAACTGAAAATCTTGATCGTCGAGGTACTGTTTTAATGGATCGATCGCAAAGTTAACAAGGGGCACCTCCAACTTATCTATCGTTAGGTAAAACCAACAAAAGTATATCAGATTGTGTTACATTGCGGCAGTATTCTGGTGCCTTCGCTACTACCAGAGTGTAATTTTTCGAAGGCGGCTTTTATTGGAAGGGGGGCAATTTCTGTGTTCAATTGTCCGTACGATTGTTGTGGTGTTTCGTATTTGAAGCAATTAGTATGAAAGCCCGTATTTTCACGTTAATATTGCAGAGTATGCTATTATTGTTATTAATTCAATCGAATAATATATTATATTAATGATCTCCATCTTTTGAATAAACCGACGTCAGTATATAATTTTAACGATGTTTTAGTAAATGTTGCATCAAACTGTTAAAAGAATTGGAACCGTAGTCCTTGAGTAAATAAAAGGAATTTTCTGATATAGTTAAAAAATTAATTAATAAAATATGTTCCAATATTTAAAAAAATTGTATTCATTCAATCTAACTATGCTATCATGTAAATCTTAAGCAGGAGCATGGTGGGAGCAGCAAATTGGCTAAGGCTGATAAGGCAATGTTTAGAACATGTCGATCGAGAATGGAACTATAAATGTTGAATTTTATCAACTGTAATATGAGTTTGGGCAATTACATCAAGGTTTGGTTACTTTTGTATATAGTGAGGCAAAGGAAGTATGTTGTACAAGAACTATGGGTAATTAATATTCCAGGCATAGATTAATTGTGAGTGAAAATTAGTGTAATAGGTTTTAAAATGGCTTACTAAAGAGCATGAAGAAAGTTTGCGATTTAAAAATATTTACAGGTTGCAGTAGAACCCTGCCGTACATAGAAAATATTGCTATACATTAATTACTTTTTTTATAATTTTTTATTATTTAGAGTTCATTCTTTAAACGTTTCGTTTAAAAAATCCTTCAAAATTTCAGCTCCTCAGCTTTGCTAGAGGTTTTGGCGGAATCAACATAAATGGTTGGATATGTGGGAAACTTTTCTTAGTAAGAACACTTATAATTCACAATTTTCTCGCAGCAATTTGTTGTTGACGTAACGCCGCGCTGGCCGATTAGAAAATGTTTCGATTTGTTTGTTTTTACCAGCTTATTTAAATACACCACTGAATTTGTAGCGATGTTAAATAGGTTCGTGACGTTTTTTTATTAGATTCGTGCTTGGACGGGGTAGTGAATGCCCAAAAAATCTAAACGTTTCATTAAAGGCTTGTTGCGTGCATGGGATCATCATTTGATTTCTTACGAAAACACTAAAAGTATAAATGTTGTGAAGTTGGAAACAGAGATCCCTTGGGCACAAAATTTAATTTAAATTTCTTAGAGTGTAGTTTCAAAAAATATGCTCCAATTTTCATAAAAAAAGGAAAAATGTCAATATAACAAAACGTAGGTCCGAAAATGTTTCCAAGATACGGGGTGTATAATATTAAAACATTTTTTTTTAGAATTCAACAAATTATATTATAAAACAAGTTTATTAAATGGCATTTTACTGACGAGTTTAATTGTCACTAGCGAAGCGCAGCGGAGCGAGTGTTTAACAAACAAGTGAGTTAAAAAGCTTACCAAATGAGTTGCATACTATACCGTTTCCACAACTGTTAGTTTTGTCGGTACATTTTTGTAAACCTACACGAATACATTCACTTATATGACTGTCAGAATTGATAAGGGTGAAAATTCAAGCAGTGCGGTACAATCGCGGTTCCCGCATGCTAGACAGATGTATAATTAAGTATTTTACAGGCGGGAGTGTAAAAATATTTTTTTGTCTAATTTTGTCAAAATTTGGAAACTAGAAAAAAAATTGTGCAGTTCCAAGAGGTATTTTATTTATTTATTCTTTTATTTATTTGTTTTTGTTTTCATAATTTTTGTGGTTTGTTTTGAACATATCGCTAAAAATATTACATTTTTGACAATTGACATAAAGCATTCTTATGAACATTTATTTTTTGGACTACTAAAAAAATGAAAGGCATGCAGGTATGATACGTCCGACGTAACGCACTTCATTTTGTATTTATGTATTCAAATTTATTTATATATAAATGTAACTTTCCAATAACACAATAACCTCGGGATTGTCCAATACTAGTATCGGAATAATATCAAATAAAAAAAAATAATATTAAATAAAAAACGTACCCGTTTAGTTGATTTGGCTTTTATTATGAAGTCAAGCTTTCGTCCGTTAGAGGGTCCAATTAGAGGGAACATTCCATCTCATTCGAGGTGAATTATACTTGCGATAATGTGCCAAAAACAGTATGCTCCATTTTGATGTTAATTAATACAATGACACGGTGGGTTATACACAATACTGAGCCAAAAGCGACTTCCTTGAACTGGATAAAATTACGCTAAGAAAAAAAACATTAACACAAAAACTGTTAAAAATGCAGATTGCAAAAAAAGTAGAAATATATATTTAGTTAACAACCAAAATATGGCGGTATTCAATTCATAGTCATTGTATGCAATGACTATGAATGCATGCATGCATAGTATGCAATTGGATGAACATCGGTTGTTTTGAACATAGGTTGTTATAAAATAAGTTGACCCAACCAAAATAATCAATTAACTGTGGGGTGACACAGTGACAGATTGATAATAGTATATTATGCAACAAGTGCGGTAAACGGCATTTGACTAAGGAGTTTATTTGACACGAGCGGAGCGAGTGTTTAATAAACGAGCGCCTTATACTTTTTCTCCAACTGTGAGTTTTTGGGTACATTTTCACAAAACAACACGAATACATCGAGTAACATGACCGTCAGAATTGACAAACGTCAAATTCAAGGCGTGGGAAATATATCAGAAAACATCCGATTGCTTCCAAACCCGTGCGATAAAATCCCGGAAATGTCCGAAGTGGCTCTGATCCGCGGGAAACGAAACTGACGTGATAAAGTGACGTTTCCCACACGTTAGATCGGCATTTTGCAGACCGGGAGTAGAAAAATGTACTTTATATCGTGGAATATTAGCATAAAACAAAGAAAGCATCGTGTGATTATAAATACCATCTTAGAAGTGGAATCACATTAAAAAGGGTACCCTTTCTAGACGTTGATGGTAATTATTCAGAATAATTTCTCCTAGAAATACGACCAAGCTGACTCCCCACCCCAGTGCCAGAATGGCAAAAGCGACCACTAAATGATTCAGCTGGACCTTTACGTACTTTTTCTCTTTCTTCGATTGCCATTCCTTGATTCGATAGATTTCTTTGCTCAGACCAAACTGTGAATAAAGTAGCAGGAACGACTGCAATAAGCCTCTGTAAGGTGACCGTCGTTTGACGTAATATACAAGGTTAAAACCGCCCACCAGTTGATCAGCAATGTGGAAAGTTTCTCGGACAGCTGCCGTTTTAGGGTTGT